CTCTCACTCCCTTAAAAAACTCACAAACATTGACGAGACACAACTCATAGACGCGATCAAATCGTCCCTTTTCCAACAGAACCCATATTAACAGTATTTGAAGTGGTAGTGTAATTAGTATAAACAAGTCCACGACCAGCGCCAGGTAATCCATACTGACGCAGAGGCGAAATATGCTAGATAGGATATTTCAAACAAGCCTGATCCGACAAATTTGGCTTGCGGTGTACTGTTCTTGTTAGGCCCAGTTTTAGGCAACTTCCAGGCTGCAGAAACATGTCCGTGACCTTTCAACCATGGTCTATAATTATATTAATATGGGACCCAAGGGTCAACATTGAGGGGGAGGATCCAAAAAGTTTGTTTGGTATTTGATTGCTGAAAGCTAACTCTCATAAATCGGATTGAAAGAATTGTTTATTTCGATTTTGGAAAGGGAGAGAGAGATCGAGCGAGGAAGAGAGAGATGGAGGGGCAGAGAGAGAGAGAGAGTCGATGAGAAAGAGCGAGAGCCAGAGCGAGAGAGAGAGAAAGAGAGAGAGAGAGAGGGAGGCAAAGAGAGAAGTAGGATGAGAAAGAGCGAGAGAGATAGTGAATGAGAAAGAGCGAGAGAGAGAGAGTGAGAGAGAGAAGAGCGACCGCGAGAGAGGCGGAACGACAGAGATCACGAAGATTTTTTCGTCGAATGATTCTTATCTTGTTTAACACCCAATACTGATTTTTATTGAATTATGCTCCACGGCTTAACGTTTGCCGCTACCCGGCGAAGGTACGACAAGGATTGTACGGCAAAGGCTCTGTTGGGCGTGAGAAGACAATTGTGTCTCCCTGCTGCTGGCGGCCATTCTTCCGAAAGTCGACGACAGTTTTCGCAGCACTGCGAAGCGGTACTAAAATTTAGATCTCTTTGAAATAATTTCCAGTAGTTTTCATCGAGTGTTAAAGCGCGCATAAAATTCCTACCTCCCTAACACACAACACGATAACCCAAGCCGTCAGCGTGGCGTACAGATTCGTGCCAACCTTGATCATCAACAATAAGGTGGATGTGGGAATTTCGGGCAAATTTAAGTCCCAGAATTGGACTTGAAACCAAGAGTATAACATTGGTAGGCTGGTGATCAGGGCCACTGAAAAGGTTCGACCTTGCATTGTTGGGAAAACAGAAAAAGGCGCTTTTCCACCTCGAGAATGTTTTTGATACCCAACTATCGCTTAAATAGGGGTTTTTAAAAACTTCTTTTCATAAAATATCTATTCTATGCCTAAACTTACCCATATTTTGTAACATGGCCGCCACGACACTCCGGATAACCCTCGCTGTAATCGCTTCCTGGCACGAAATGTTCGATTTGTCTCGAGATATGACGAGGAAGAAAACGAGATAAAATCCAATCGATAACAAAACCATCATTGGGATTACGATGCTGGTATATGTATTCAGGAATGCGTTGTAGGAAGCTGTAGCGTAACTGGAAAGCGATATTTATGAAAAATTTCAGTAATCGAACAAAATCTATTTAAGGGAAGAAAAATTTTTTAGAGAATAGCTTTCTAAAAGGTTAAATTTCGAAAAGTTGGTTGTTCCTATTGTTGCTAAACGCATTTTTCTAAAATCTTATCTTTTTTTAAAAAAAAAGCCACAAGACCCAAAAACCCCCCAAAAAAAAAAAAGGAAGGCCCCAAAAAAAAAAAAATAAAAAATTTAAAAAAAAAAAAATCAAAAAAAACCCCTAAAAATGCCTCGCAAATACAGCTCTCGAAAGGCGGGCAAATTTTAAAAATTTTTCAGGCCTCTAAAAACCTACGATACTGAAATATTTGCAGATACCGTAGCTTTAATAGGCACAAAAATAACAACGTATCCAGCGAGTCCAATATTTGCCGCCCAAATCAAAATTATACACCGCATCATGATTTTTGGGGTCCATATCTGGAAATCAATGGGTTTCACGTCCGTTGGCATTTCCCTAAAAATTTGGATAAAGAAGGAAAAATACCACGCAATAGATATCCGCAAATTGAAACTTAACCAGTGTCAGCCTCTCTCGCGTATACAACATCATTATCCGTGACAGGGCCAGTACGAAATTCCAGACCTTCGTCTGCGTAGAGATACAGCAAGAGACAACGTAGGCGACGCGAGCCAAGACTGGTAAGCAGGCTCCTTTGAAGGCCCACAACCAAAAGCCCCATACAGATGGCTCTTTCACAATCAGCTCGTTTACGCAGAGCAATAACTCGCAGATCACTAAAATCAGGCGTGAACTGGTTATAATTATCGACAACTACTTTTGTGCTTATCCCGGTAATTTACGCTAAAGTGGACGGACCATTGATCTTAAAGGGGTGAGCAAGGCAGGACAAAGATTCCCCCGCGGCATGGATCCAGCGTGCGCTGATTGCAGGTTTCTTGCGGTTTACCAATCCCTGCGTTTTTTTTACGTAAAAACAAGATTTCCCCATATTTTTCAAGTCACTTGCGTGGCCGCGACACACGTAAATAAAGCGCTACCTCGCCGCACTAACCGCAAGAGCACCAAAAAACCGAAAGCCAACGCGAAGCCGTTCAAGGTTTTCGCTTAAATACCTCCGCACTCACGAAAGGTACTGTATCCTAGGACCGCTAACCCCGCGAGGTGTTCTGATCGTTAATATCACTAGCGTGTAGCCCCAAAACTTGGATGTGCTGCCTCTGCGTTGCGGGCTTTACGGATGCTGCGCGTGCCGGGTTTCTGGTCTACCGCGGGATTCAAATACTAACGTCCCTAATCTGGGCGTACGGTCCCGCACGAAAAGCCAGATCCAGAGTTTTCCGGTTTTTGACAGTGCTCTTCGTACCAAAAAAAAAACCTACAAACATTGATGAGACAAAGCTCGTATACCCGATCAAAACGTCCCCTCTCCAGCAGCACCCATATCAGCAAACATTGGAGTGGTAGTGTAATTAGTATGAAGACGTCCACACCCAGCGCCAGGTAATCCATTTTAGTATCTTGACGACTTTGAAGGGGCACTGTGAAAGGTATCGTAACCCTGCTTGAACTCGGCGTCCTGTAGCCCTGCGAAATGTTGTGGTCAAATTAGGCCCGCGGACGGCGTCCTGTTTTTGAAAATTGCTTATTTTGGACACAGCCTAATCAAAAAACATGTCCAGAGTGTGAGAAAATCCAGAGCTTTTTGAGGCAATGTCGTGGGGAAATTTTTGCGGGCTCAAAGAGCGGTGAAAAGTGCATGCACCACGCGATGGTTCTAATAAGCAATTCAAGCCTAAGCCTAAGCGGGAAAATAGCGGAAAATAGAAGGTATATTAATTTGACACAAAAATTTATCGGATTATAAGTTCAGCAGGCAGCCGTTATTAATGATTCGACATTTGCTTTTCTTGCACGATTTGTGGGTTTTCCACAATTGAAGCAGATGTCTCACGATTTTTCCGATTTTAGTATGAGCTCTGCAAGAAAAGCGGTGACGGTTAACCTTCGCCCCCGCGTGAAGTTCTCAGAAATGCCAATTTTTCTAGGAATCTTCACGAGATTTGCTCGAAATCACTCGCGTCAAAAAATATCAGAAAAGTTTTATTTGCAGCTCAAAATATTGTAATATCAAAAAATTTTGCAAAAGCAAAGATATGCTTGTGTTTCTTTTAGCCATTTTAAAAAATTCCCGGCCTCCGGTTCCCCCTATAGGGCCCCCAATCTCGACCAATGGCTTGCCACTTGGCCAATGGAAGCAACAGGTTTCCTGGGGGGGGGGGGGGCCCCCCCCCGCGGGGGGTTTTCTTTCCAAGGCCGGGCGGCGGGCCGTGGCGCGGCCCCCTGAACTGTGCGCTTTAAAGTACCATTTTTTGATCGCGACAATTCTGCTGCTTCTGCACGTTGTATGAACCTGGACTGCCGAAAATTATGGATAGTAAAAAGTCATTCCCACCACTGAGATCTTCACGTTTGCCTCAGTTTCGTGCCATTTTGAAGGTGTCGTGAGTCTTTTCGCTTCAGGATTGTGAAAATGGGTGAATTTTATGCTTGTAAAACTGCAGCTGACATTTTACCAAGCCGGCCCCCGCCATAAGATCACAATTCTCTAGAAAACTGACCGATGCTGTAGCGTGAACGATTTTTTAAAAATGAATTGAATTGAAGGGAATTAAATGTCTTTCTAGGGATCCAATTTTTTTAATATAAATAGATTAAGTGTTTCTAGGCTCTTTTTTACCATCCCCAAGCATGAAAAAGTTGCAAATTCTGATTATGAAACCACAAACCATATCGATTTTAGTACCAAAAATGGACGATTTTTTAAAAGCTTTTTTTATTGTTTTCCGTTCCATATCAAATTGATTCTATAGGTTGTTTACCTTAAGTCAAATTTCAGGTATGTAAGAAAAAAGTTTGTTTCGTCTCCCTGATAATGCTAAACAACGGTCGTGAAATCTGTAGGATTGATACGTTTTTAGCATCTGTTGCATTAGAAAAAGTACAACCTTTATTCTTCAGAAAATAGCCGCTTCTAATCGTATTTGCATAATCCGTATCTGTAATCACAAACTGGTAATTGGGGGGAAAGTGAGGGGTTTTGGCGTATTTCATTTGTGGATTGCATCCGGGAGGTGATAATGGCTAATTGGAAAATCACACGGGTAGATAAAGCTAGTGTTATTATTAAAACGTTAAACTAGTGAAATTTAAATTAAAAGTCGCAAAAATATACATAGGACACCTGCCTAACCTTCACAGTATACATACAAAAAACTTTATATAAAATGGTACCCGTAAAAGTGGTATAATTGAACGAATTTCTTAAGAGGATGGTGGGTATTTGTGGCAAATTGGTCGTAATATCAAATAAAAATTATCGTTACAAAATCATAATTAAAGTCTTAGGTACAAGGCGATACAGTGATTTGGTAAAATCATCGAAAAGGGGGCGAAAAGGCAGAATTACCTGGCGTAATGATTAAAATGGTGGCCACAGAGCTAAAAAAAACGGAAATAAGCTTAGGAATGCGGCAGATGAAGCCCAAACTTTGACAAATCATGCCAGTCGTCCCATGATAAATTCCCCTTCCGGTCCGCAGTTTTGTTGTAGAGTCGATGGAGCTGGATTTGGGTGTGGAACCTGGAAGAATTGGAATAATTTTTTGATGCGTAATGACTTAGGATTGGTGACACAGCGCGTTGACTTGGAATGTCCGGTGTGCGCGACGCGACATCGCTATACGCGCCAATATCAAATAATGCGTCGGCTTGATTAGGGGCTACGCGTATGCGATATGATACCACCCTGCCCCGACACGCCACGCAGCACGCGACGCACCCCACAACTTATTACATGATGCAACACGATACGCGGCGTGTTACCGAAGTCAACACGCGACGCACCCGCTCCGCATCCGAACGGTGACACGCGCTGCAATTCGCAACGTAGCAGGCACGACGCCTCACGCAAAGCAAAACGCTGCGCCGTGACCGCCTGTCTCCAGCGACAAGCTTTGCACCTCCCGTACTACATTAAATGTGCCTGCCTGCGTCCGCAACGCGACACGCACAAACGGCCTTTTTTGCGTAAGCCCTTTGCTTAGGTCATTATATTATTTTGCTCCAAAAACCTTCTACAAAAGCTTACATTTTGTTGTTGTCCTTCAACCCTCCGGCGCTCCAGATTGAAACGTCTAGCGAATGGCCATCGAGGAATCGTTTTACGTCTCGTACTTCACCAATGTCGTAGCACAACTAAATCGCAGTTTAAACTATCTGATAAAAATCTAATTAAATAAAAACCAATAAAAACGATCTTACTCACCTCTTCATTAAACGTTGGGTTCAACGAAGACCTTACGATTTTCGTCTTTTTCTTGGAATTCTGATCCGGGCGAAGATAGGTTTTGACGTAGGAGTCTGGGGCCTAAAAATATTGTTATGTCTTTATTGATTTCTTTTTAACGAGTCTTAGAATGATTATACTCTTAAATAGTCTACCTGTCCGGTCGTCAACATTGGTAGATGCTTGACATGCCCGACAAAAACTTTCAACTGGCTCGTCGTCGCTTGCCAGGAGAGCAGAAGCCGGATTTGGACGGGACGGCCGGCTGCTGGCTCCAGGACTTCTAAAAAATAGCTTGATCATAAATGTTTCGACTTTGGTATGACTAACTGGGTAAATAACTTTTAGCTACTTTCGCTTACCAGGTCCATTTTGGAGTGTGTTGTCCCGGAGGATGATATGGAAAAACGTGTAGACGAGTGGGTCCTTAAAAAACTTATTAGTTATCATTTTTGCGATTAATTAACAAAAATAGATCTATGGGATTTTTAGCCATTAGCATAACTTTAAGAGATTGCAATTTTGGTTGAGGTAGTACCGCAATCAAAGCTGTTGCGGGCTACTGTAACTTTTGGCTATTTTTAGGCGGTTTTGGGGAGATTCACGTGTTTTCGCTAGTATAACGTTGTCAAAAGCCTACGTTTCGTACTGCTGAAGGCGCTCCGTGAAGAAGTACTCGAAGGTAGTCCTAAAATTAAAGTATTGCGCTTCCAATTTTTGACTTACCTTCATGGCCGAAAGCCGTTTCAAGGCAACTTCCCGGTTGTTGGACCGTGCGTTTTCCTTCACCCAGTTTGGAGCTGAGGAATGGTGCCTGAAAGGTATTTTTTCTGATAAATTAGTCCATTTAAACAACTTTTTAGTTACTTTAACTAGCTAAGAAAAAAGGGCAAATCTTTATATACAGTAGGATAAATTAGAAATTGTCAAAACCGCAAAATCGGCTTCTTTCACATACCGCATCTTCAGCTTCAAAGCCAACTCCTCGAATTCGGCGAACGAACGGTATACGGTGGTGGCAATGGTTTCCTGGTCTCGGTAGACAACCATTCGATACAGCTGAAAATCCAACGCTGTTCGTTTTTTTACGCAAAGAAATAGCAATTTAAATAGCCCCAAAAAGCGTTTAATACCTTCCGATACTTTTTGGGTCCTTCCGGTTTCTAAAAATTTCTGTTTTACGTCTATAAACTTACATAAACTTTCTGGGGCATCATGCGTTTTTCCGGGTATAGGAGCTTTACGTCCTGGATTCGGCCGTCGGTTTCCATCCTGAAAATGATTCATTTGGCTTAGGCTTAGATTAAGCTTGACTTAGGCTTGGCTTAGGTTCAGACATAGGCTTAAGCCCGGGTTTAGGCTTGGGCTTGGTGTAGGATAAGCTTAGCTTGAGCGTAGCTTAGACATAGGCTTATCTTATGATTATCTTGGGCTGAGCTTCGCTTAGCTTAGGTTCAGCTTGACCTGTACTTTGCTTAGCCCTGGCTTAGGTTTAGGTTTAGCTGAGGCTTAGGGTAGCTAGCTAACTCACGTATGCCGATGAGGTACAAATGACAGCGTATCTGGCTGGTCAATTGGTCGTACAGTTTGTCCGCTCAGCATTTGGGCGAAGGTGTGCGCGAAGAAGTTCAGCCGGACGAACGTTGAGCCGAGAGAGATCTAAAATCTTTCATGAAGCCTGGTTTATCAGGAATAACGTTCGATTACAGCTCGCAACGTCATCAAGCGGTTCAGTACCAAAAGGACCAACAACTCAGGCATAATCATACCGTGATCATCTTCGTAAATTCAGCCGTCGCGTCGGTGTCGCTCATACCGAGCATCAGGTTCTTTTGCACAAAATGCAGAGATTGCGCGTTGATGCCAGGGATGTCGGAGCATTGCATCTAAAAACGTTGAAAAATGATTAAACGGCCAAATTTTAAAGGTTTCTAAATGAAAACCAATAAAACTCACAATTTTCAACAAGCTCAAAATATGGGCGTGTTTACTCCGCAGGTGGTTGAAGGCTTGGCAGCAGAAATCGATGAACGATTGGTAGCCATCGTTGGCGCCCTGGACCTCACCCCGGTTGATGACGGCGAACATCTCCTTGGTGAAAACGAATGGGACACGATCTCTGAAAAATGATATTTTTGAAAGATAGGGCAAATACTGCGTTGCGGAGCAAGGACGCAATAGGTTATTTGCAAATTTTTGTGTTTCTTGATTTTTTTTGTGTCTTTAAAGGGACGGTAAAAGCCTACTGTATTGTTTTCGTCCCGTCAAGGGGCGTGTTTTGAGGTCACCACATCAACGTAGCAATCCGAATTTTTCTCACCTCTTCACCGGTCCAGCCATCTGCCAATCGCCCATATACTTCCCGAAATCGATGTGGAAGACGTGGCCCATCGACGTCAATAGGATGTTGTCGTTGTGACGATCGCCAATCCCCAGCACAAACGTCGCCACGCACCACCCTGCGCACGAGCGCCGGAAGTTGTCCTCCGCCTAAACGGGGGGTGATGGAAGTTGTAAAGCATTTATCCAGGTATCTAAAAATTACTAACCACTTTATAGCTATACTCGGACGAGTTGTACTTCTCCAGCCACTTGCATAACACATCGTCCTTGAACACCCCGGCCATGCCCTCGGCTTTTTGGATGTCGCACAGGGTTTGGCAGTCGGACACGAGCTCGGCCATGCCTAGAATCAGTGCCCTGGGACAATTTTGTAAAAGTTACGTACCTTTCCTATATCCAACCGTAGCGCAACGGAAAGTGATCATCCGCAGGTCCAGTCCCTCGCACAACCAGATGTCGTTCATCACCCGAACTAGCTGGATCACAAGCGCGTCTTGTCGCATGTCATCGCCGTCCTAAAATATAAGTTTAACACTCAACGTGAACCTACAAAAAATTCTGTTACGCTACGATCCTATTGGCAAAAAAGTACCGTGGTCATGACCAAAATTTTGAATGTAAGCGCCATATCTTACTTTGTGAATCACCGAAAATTTGCTCTTCAACCCCCGGAAAACGATGCGCAATGGCTTGGCGTTCGAGTTAAAGATCCCACACTTGGCAACGTCAATCTAAAACGGATTTCTAGGGGTAATTTAAGTTTTACAAACCCCAGTCGCTTTGAAAGACGGCAAAATCGGCAGTCGCACGTTTCGGCCAAGTAAATCTCCATCCAGGAAACCGAGGCGTTGTCGGAGGATGTTGAGCTAAAAAGCATATGATATTTTCGGGCCCTGCCGATACCAAGCGGGAATTGTGATGCTTGTTAGCTAATTTAAAATACTTTTTGAAAGTCGCATACCTTTTCACTATCCGTCGTAATCTTCAGTTCTCGTTGAAGGTCATCTAGGGTGTTCAGAAGTTTGTGCTGCAGGTAGATGCTGTGGGTCAGGAGGGCTGATTCCTTTCTGAAACTGTGTTATATTTATTGACGCCTCTCAAAATTCACGAATTTTGAGATTTTTGAGGTCACTAAGTAAGTCTCCAAATTTTTGATGATAAAAAATTCCTTACCTTGACAACAACTCTTTCTGCAACATTTGACACCTCCTGACGTAACAGGCCGTGTTCGCGGAAAAGTCGTTGGCCGGGCAATGGTCCACCCGTTGTTGCAATTGCCAATACAGCTCATACGCAAAGCGTAGATCTTTGTAGGAGAGTTCTAACAGCAGCTCGGCAAGTGAAGAGTCCTCATACAGCTCAAAACGCAGCACCTAAATCATGAAATTTTGTAAATTGTAGATTTTAGAACGTTTTTAAATCGTAAAACACCTCAAAAATAAACCCCTTACTTCAACGAGCTGGGGCATGAAATTGAACAGGAAATCGCTGGATGCTCTCCTGATCCATTCGACGGCTTTTGAACGGACGACACGGTCGGGGTATCTGAAAAATGGTATAATTCGGTAATCGAGGCATTTACAAAACTATATTTGTATTTCTATAGATTCAAACCTGGTTGCATGCCTTAACTTTTCTTACTGCGAAGAAACTGGTTTTTAAAGATATACTTTCCTAAAATTCCGGGATTCCGGGGCTAGTTTAACGGTAAAAATCGGAACAGTGAAAAAAATAATTTACTATTTTACAGTGTTTTTGGGTTTTCAAAATAACAGCTAACCAAAAAAATTTTCTCATTTTTTAAACCAAATTTCAAAAACGTAAAATATATTTTGAGAGTGGCGTTATGCAAATTCAACTGATCGACGGTTTCAATTATCTAAATAACTTACTGCGGTAGCAAAAGCTGAATAGCCTCCACTGGTGACAGTATCGTCCATCCCTCGATGAGAGGATAGATGTTTGGCAGCCATCCATAGGCCCAGTCTGGAACGCTGGCCAAGACAAGCGGCAACGCCTCCGAGCTGTTCATCAAATGGTACCGCTTCTCCCATAAAAGCTCCTTCCACTCTTGCTCGAGCCTGTAAAATCGTCATAGACCCCTGCACTCGAAAACGGATTTCAGAATCGGAAGTTCACGTACTTTTCTGGGTCCTTGAGCTCGAGTAGATCCTCGATTTCCTCCTGCTGATGCTCGGGCATATCGTAGAAGCTCATCGGGAGTCTGGAGTTTAAAAAATCCTTGCAAAACGATAGATTGATAGTCAGGGGCTTACTAGGGCGGCCAAGAATTGTTTTTGCACGGACAGCCATTATCGTATCAAATAACTTACGCCGGCTCCACGTCGCTAATATCGGGGAAGTGGACGTCGTAGTCGTATCCTGGTAGAGAAATTATGACGACAGCATCTCGTTCGGAGCACAGTAACGGCTGGCCTCCCCAAGGCTGTACGGCCCAGTCTCGTTGTGTCGACAGGGGAAGCATGATTTGGCCTTGGCGGAGGATGCTGGAAAATGACGGTAGTTCAAGACAAGAAAAATCATATCAATAACCTTCAGGAATCGTTAATAACCCACTTATTATGATCAAACATTGGCAGTGATGCCTGGGCCAAATATTGATAGGTTCTCAGGTCGGGATCGCCGCCAACGGCAGCATGATCGATGGTCGGGCCTCCTTTTAGTGCGTCGACCCCCCAGAGCAGGAACACGAGCCGGGACTCACGAGGGCAATGTCGGAGCTCTTTTTTGAAGTCGGCCTAAAAATGGGGATAAGGTTTGGGTATAGGAGAGAGTGAGACAGAGACGAGTGAAAGAGCGCGGGAGTGAGAGAGAGGGAGGGAGGGAAAGAGAGCGAGAGAGAGAGAATGAGAGAGAGAGAGAGAAAGAGAGAGCGCGCGAGCGTGAGAGATGGGGGAATAACTAACCACAAAGTCCATGCTAACATGAGGAAAACTGGAATCGACGCGGGCAGCTCGGGTCAAAGCTTCTTTATGACCTCCCAAATCGTCAGTGCCGTGATGCAGGTTGATCGTCATGAAGAAGGACTGAACATGATAGATAATTTTGATACTAAAACATGTAAATAATTTTTAAGACACTTTTAACACTGCATTAGTTTTAGAAGCGTATTTTCGCGGGGGCGGGGGGGGGGAACTAGTTTTTCAACCATAAAAAAATTTTAAAACATCGGGATTTTTTTTTAAAGAAACCCATCTATTTTGACTCTATATATAGCCATCTTTCCAGGATATGGAACGATCCGTTATAATACCTGATATTCCGACAGCCATTCGTTCTTCAGATTGTGCACACTTTGGACAAGAACTTGAACGATTTCCGCGCATTCGATCACCCGTTTTAGAGGCTTCTTCTTTTCCTAAAAAGCGCAATTTTAAGGACAAAGTCGATGTCCTTACTATTAATGGACGTATCGTGTAGCTGCTCGTCGTACTCCTGCAGTACGCCAGGATGAAGCTGTGGATGGCAAGGAGGAAGTCGTGACGAGCCGATTCGCGGTCGTTCTGAATTATAAAGATATCGAATTTTTAGTTAGGTCCAGATACAAGGAAGATTCGTAGATAAATTTTAATGTATTACAGCACCCAAATGTAAGTCTTTTGAATTCCGGCTTTTCAAAAATTTCATTTACAATGCCGATTTTCAAGGCTTTCAAAACATCGCTTTTGGAGATCAAATTAGCTACACTAATTCAAATTCAAATTCAAATTTTGCAGAGGCCTTTTAACAAATAAGAAAAGATAGTATGATATACCTTTTCGGCCGTCAAATATCGTCTCAGGGTGTTGTGCAGCGTACCGGGCTCGATTCGACTCAACAGTTTGCACAGTTCCTCGACACGTTTCCGGACCCCGTTTGCCGAGTTTGCCACTAAAAGTGTTAATGTTTCTTGTCAAAAAAAAGAAAAAAGCATATTTAAAGCCAGAAAAATTTGAAAGAAAAATTTAATAGGATTTTAAACGAATTTTCGAAGCAATTCCGCTTACGAAAAAACCGGGAGAGCTCTGGAAAATTTGTTAAAATTAAAATCAGGAAAAAACTATTGTGGAAAATGCTGGAAGCCTTTTTAGGATTGCCTCAAATATACAAATTTAAATGCCAACCTGACAACGGGTGAACGTCTCCAGCCTTGCTGTCAAAATCCTCCATGTTGTCCTTCAGCTGGGCCAGCTTCTGCTCCACGTCATCTTTGTCCAGAATCGTGGGTGATGCCAGACTCATCCTAGAAGTTCAGCAAGTGCAAAAATAGCCTAAAACCGCGGAGAATGTGCCCAAAAAGCCGTGAAAAATTCGCAAATAGCCAAGAAGCACAAATGGGAAAAATGGCCCGAAATTTTTGGACAGGGTGAGTGCAAACCTGATTGTCTTTTTTGGTGTTCGTCTGAAAACCAAGGAGTAGTGGGTTAGTGAAAAATGCTTAAAAGTAGGGCATAAAAATCAAGAAACTGAAAGACAGGCTAAGGTATCTGTAAATTATAGAAAATGCGAGGTAAAGAGACGGCAAAAACCTTACTTGTTAGCCCGAACATCGGCATAGGTATACGGGCGCTCATCGGTTGGCAGACGATCGGCTGGGATTTTTCGACCAATCTGTAAGGTATCATTTTATACTTATTTCGGCTTTTTCAACTTTAGATTATGTTTTTTATCTTAATTGACCGATACGTACAAAATCGTGCTACGCAGAATATGTGCTTAGTAGGTAAAATACGTAAAATACGTAAACTAAACGGCGCATTAATGAAGGTACAGTTTTTGACTTTTTGCTTGCATTAAAGCTTACAGATTCTATCGTTAAAATAAGCTCCAAAGGTATGTTAAAAATATACAAAAATCCATCACCTACCTCCAACTTGACGTCCTTGTCCATCAGCAGACACTTTCCGACAAAAATATTCTGGCCGATCAGCTCTTGCTCGGGGAGAAATTCGTCGAGCCCGTATTCCTAAAAATTCAGCGTAAGAAAGAAACTCTCGCTTTCTCTCTCTCTCTCTCTCTCTCTCTTTCTCTCTCTCTCACCTTCAATCCATATGCATCCGTTGGCACTCCATCAGCGAGCTGGCTCTCATCCAGAAGTGCGGCCAGTGTTTCGGCAAGGAATAACCCGACCGTCTTGTCCGTCTCCACAGTCTGTGTCAATTTCCGCAAGCCACCGGTTGGCCACCTGAATTGCAATAAGGGTTTGTTAATTCCCGCAAAAATCATACTTACGTGTGGTCCTTCTCGATCGTCACTTTCACGCTCTTCACATTCGTCGTCATGTATTCTACCGTAGCAGACGAGAAAAATTGGGAACAATCTGCGGTGCGACCGAACCTTTTGACGAGACGTTCGAGCTGAAAAATTAGGGGTTAGCTTTAGGGAGATAATGAGAACTTAGATACCCTAAACTATCTGGCTACGATATTAAGAAGATTTGAGAATATGCTTTGAAAATCCAGTGTGGTATACCTTAATAGTAGCAAGCGAAAAATTGCGAACCTGTGCCTCGACATCTGGTTTCTTCTCAATAATCTGGAACCTGTCGATCGATAGCTTTTCGGGAGTCTGGGTTTTTAGGGCTGGATAGATGGCTGAGGCTGGTCTTAAAAAAATTACGTTACAAATTTTAATGGATAAAATTTTACCTCCTCGGTGTCACCGCTTCATAGTCATCTTTGCTGGTACCCGCACCCTCCGATCGTCGCGTAGGAGTTGTGACTAAAAATAGCCATAATTATGATTGCCTGTTAAATTTCACCTATGGGATACCTTTACTGTATTATAATAAAAAAATACTATTTTGAGATTTATTTTTGTGCTTACTGTACACCCAGTCGTCATTTAGGAAACAACTGTAGTCTAGGCTTGGGAATAGGTACGGCTCACGTTCGATTCGCATTTTGTGTACGCAATTTTGGGTTCATTCCTGGAATCGGTGCACTAATGATATAAATAGAAAAATAGTTATAGAAAGGAGCGGAAATAAATGAACTTTAAAAGTTTAAATAGGAAGGAGTTTTTAATTAAAAACATGAGAATGAAAATCGGGACCAGAAAAATTGAAATATCGGGAAATTAGCTGGAATTACTTGAAAAATTTTTCAATCGAATTTGAATTGAATTGAGCTCTATTCTATATAAACGTAGAAGTATATTTAGTAAAGACCTCCGACGATTAAATGAAAATAAATCGTCAAAACTTCGAAAAAATCGAAACTTTTGGATTATCGAGGCTGCATAGACCGGGAAAAGGATTATCGCTTCCCGCCTTTTCAAAGGACGGGAAAGGCTAAACTGAAACTGATTCCCAATAGAAACATACTAGAAAAACACGCCCCACCCAAAAAGCCGTAAATATATTAGTCAGACGTTCAGTGGTGAGGGGGGCATAAAGCAGTTTTTTAGGCTTGTTAGCTAGGGCTTATCAGCTCGGGGCCGGCGAATCCACGCAAGAAAATTGAGGGTGGGTGATAATATAGCACGAGGGAATATTTTGACCATGAATACTGTTTAGCCGATAAATTGACGGGTGTTTCCCAGGTCGAAAAATTGCGAAAAACGAGCTCTAGAGAATAATTAGACATTTAAATAACGTTGAAATCAATAAAACGTTTTTTGTTGTTTTGAATGTGTTTTCGAGGTCTGGAAATTACGAAAAACGCTAGAGTAATCAGGACAAACTCGCTAGATAAATTTTAATCGATAATCACGTAAAAATCGATTTTTCAAACGGAGTTATAGTTTATCAAGGGGTACTGTATAACGCGTATTTTTGCATAAGATACGCAAATTCATTTTTTTGACTTTCAGCTAGTTTTCGCTTTTTTTGTACTTTTAATTTGTACAACCGAATTGAATTTTGTAAAAAAAATATATATATATATAAATGAAATCCATAATTTCGAAAATTTTCTGGGCCGGTAGAACTTTAATAAGTTAAAAATGGCCGACTTACCGTAATCATTGTGCAGGCTGTTGGTCTTGCTGAGGATGGCGGGCGGCATGGATGGGGCAATGTCCCCGGGTGGCGGCTCATAAAGCACGTCGAAATCGCGGCGGATCTGCAAAAATAATTATAAAACGAGGAAAAAATTAAAAACGCCGCACAAAATCTACTTTTTCCCATTATAAATTCCAAAGAATTAAAATTAAAAATTGAAAAAAATTGCAAAATTAAAAAGTAATCAAAAGCTCGAAATGCATATTTTAGGGATCTAAAAATCGATAGGTATCTATATAAAGGGTTTTAAAGCCATATAACCGCTCTAAACAAGCTTGTAAAAATATCTAGTTTAGAATCCGCAAAAAAATTCTAGGATCCCGAAAAAATCGATAGCGCGCCTCAGCCCGGCCAGGGCGCGCGCAAATTGGATCAACGGTGATTGGCTTTGGGAGGTTGGCGAGATTTAAAAATATAAAAAAAACGAAGAATTCAAGGGCAGAGGGGAAAGGATAATTAGGGTCAAAAGGATAGATGGGTTGGATCGGGGCCAGGCATGGCACTTTCGACCTGGCTCTACGGCCCCACCACAGCCACACGGCCATTAGGGTGAGGGTCAGTGTTCGGGAGCACGTAAGGTGCACTTTTTGTATCGGGAAGTATCCGGAAAAATAAGGCGGAAGTATAGTCAAGGTATGTTGTTTTTAATTACGACGAAAAACTGCTATTTTACCGCTCTCGGCAGGCTTTGTTTGTGAATTTTAACGTAGTTCGCGGCTAAATAACGCTATAGCACCTCGGTCAGACATAAAAAAGAATCGCGACAAAAAATCTAACCAGGTAACTTTCTAACAAAATTAAGAAAGGCCGTGTTATATTTTTCTATTTTATAAATTTTTGAAAGTACGAAACGACAATTTTTCTGGCTAATAAAAACGGTACTACTCTCCTGAATAGCCGGAGGCAACAGCGAGCACATATAGAAAAAACCTTGATTTGAATTGGTATCTTGTAAGGCGCACTAATGCCTAGACATCTTGGGTATTGGGAAAAACTGAAATGCCGCCGGCAGCTGCCCTCGGAAATGCGCCCCCAACCCGTTATCACCTCGCACCTGCCGCCTACACCCATCTGGGGGTATAGCTCAGTGGTAGAGCGCTCGCTTAGCATGCGAGAGGTCTGGGGTTCAATTCCCCATACCTCCAAAACGTTTTGCTTTTTAAGCAAAGATATCGTGACTTGATGCTAGCGTTGTTAGATAGTTTTTTAAATTAAGTTGTAGGAAAAGTTATAGCCCAGCCGACGAGCCCAACTGAATATTTTGGTAGGAGTAAATTTTAAGGGATTGAGGCTCAGTTTTTAGGCTCAAAAGCTTTGGAAAAGCCGCAACGAAGGCAAAAAAATACGCACAGACACACAAACCGCGTTGTCTGTCTGTCGGTTTGTGGCCGGGCCGGATTTCGGAAAAGTGATAGCGGAGATCTCGACCCGGGCGTTCCTCCCGCCTTGGGGAGCCCCCGGAGACAGGTGACCGCCAGCCGGGGAACCCTTTTTTCGAAGGGGGGATAAGCACAAAAGAGCTGCTTGCTCCGACGGGGGTTGAACCTCCGTGGAGGCTTTAGTGGAATGGGGGACTAAATGCGGAAGAACTTATCATATTTGAATGAATTTCTGATCGATAAATTCAGGCTTTAAAGGGACTGGGAAGGCAAAAGGGCTGCTTTTCGATATTTTGACGCCTCCCAGATGTTTTTTTGACTGACTGTCTCGTATTGTCCGTGGTAATTGTCATGCGCACGCCATCACTGTAGCTAATGCTTTGCTGGAAACGTTGCTTTTCCAAAAATTGGAAGCCGTCAAGGCTAAAGCTTGAAAAGGGGACCTTTTTTGGGGGCTTGTGAGTCACCGCTTGGGTTGCAAGTTCCAATAGAAATTAATGACGAGCAAGTGTTGTTCCAAGTGAGTAAACTTCATTAATCTGATCTGAATTTGCCTAGAAGCGCTAAAAATGCAAAAACGTAGACTTTAGCTAACGTTTCAAAGAGTAAAAAAATTGCGAGTTAGAAACGCACTGCCTCGCGGTATATTGCAAAAAGTTTGCTAGAACTTACCAGAAAAGATCGCGCAAGCCGTAACTTAAAAAAAGATTTAGTAAGGCCGAAGGTATATTTCCGGGGTCATGAACGCGTTAGTTCCGGAACTATTGGCTTCTTACTAAGGCGTCAACCTCCCAACCTTTCCCTTGATAGATAGCCCCAAGACGGTGCTAATTTACGACCCTAGCCGCTGCGACCTACACCCCGAGGGGCCATTTTTACAACCCAAGGTAAATATTTGTCAAATTGAGGGGAATCTAGGGCTCTGTGGGTCGTTCAGCAGGCCATTTATATCCCAGGACCATGGCTGAGAAAAGCTTCCGGACGAGAAAAAAGGTGCTACTCGTGCCAGGGTGGTCCGCGAGAGTCGCCTGGCGACTATAAACTGACCGGTGTGATTTTTGGGGGTGAGAAATGAGAGCTTGGTTGATTACGGCGATCTGTGGGATCGTTTAGAAACTATTTTTAGTAAAGCGACATTAAAGGACTTCCAAAAAAAAATTAAAAAACGGGCAAAAATGAACATTTTTAGACCACTTAAATATTCAAAAATTCAAAGGCCTATCAGCGATTTTAAATTTACCTGGAACGAAAAACTAAAAAACACTGGAGCGACAATATTCAGGAGCTTGTGACGCGAATTTTGTAATCCAAGCAAAATTGGGGGCTCCTTCCTGCTCCTCCTCCACCCTCAATTTCAGCCGGTAAACAGATGATCGGCGCCGCTAGCCAAAAACACTGGCACAAAGCCAAGAAAGGGGAATGAGAGGAGGCAGCGATCATCAGAAAACATGGCTACAAAGATGTGTGATCCTAAATGTTACAAGAAAAGCCGAAAAGGGGTTGTCAACAATATTTGAATCAGGGGCTGAGTTGACCTTATAACGTAATTTAAAAATAGGAAAAAATGGGGAATAAGTAACTTATGTTTAAGTATATTCAATGAGAATGATTTAATGTATTTTGGTGTTGTAGGTGTCACTTAATGAGGTATATAAAGTGCTATGAATTCGGAAATTACAAATTTCGTAAAATTATTGCGTTTTGTTGGCATTTTTGACCTATTTTCGTTAAATATTAAATATAATACCAATAGATGAATAACTATTAAAATACATATTATAAAGTTTGTAAAGCGATGAAAAATGTAGATGAAAAAGATGTTAGATTAGATGAAAAGGATGAATTATGAAAACTTACCCTATCATAATCCTTGCCGTCCGACAAATCGATCAAATCTCCATCGGTTCCTCGCTTCGGCGACTTTATCCTCGCATAGGCCAAGTAGACCTCATTCTGCCTGGGGCTCGGCACCGACAGCGTCGTCTCCTCCGACTTGGAGGAGCCCGGCTGGCTGGTGGTCGGTTGCTCGCTAAAATGAGCGATTTTTTTAGGGAAGCTAAATCTATGGTTCGCTTTTCGCCACCTCCACCCAACTAAAGAAATGTGGCATATGTTAATGACCTCCAAAGCCTTTGATTTTGACAAATTTTAACGTTTATTTCTGTTAATATCCTAGCGTAATTGATTTCACCCAAAGAATCAGAGAAAAGTATTTGTTAAGATAGCATTTGTGACGGCACAGTGAAATTTTTGAGAGATTGAAGGTGATCTTCAGTGCACTGGCACACGGCTTACCCAATGTGAAATTTGGATGCTAGCGTTTTTAGGCTATAAAATACACTTTGAACGAGAGAAAAATTTGAATTAATTGGTGATACTTGAGATCTACCCGAACCTTGAGCGAGAGAGAGGGGAGTGAGAGAGAGTGAGAGAGAGAGAGTGAGAGTGAACGCGAGAACATTGGGCTATAGTGGGATTGAGAGAGGGAGAGTGAGAGTGAGAGCGAGGGTGAGAGAGTGAGAATGAGAAATAACAAGAACGCGAGAGATATTTAACAATAGTTAGAGATAAAAAGAGTGGGCCAGCGAGTGAGCGACCAGCACGAGAGAGAGAAATTGAGTGAGAGAAAGCTAGAGAGAGCACGAGAGATATCTATCTTTTCTTAAAGCCGTTTAAACCGTTTTTCCCAGCGAATACGCACCCAGCCACCACTACCGTATCCTCTTCAACCTTCAGAGTCGGCTTTTGGCAGCAAATATAGCTAACAAACTGGCACCGACAACAGAATACCATTTTGCACGTCAGCATCAAAAAATATTCAGAAGCGCAAACCAGGAATTTAATCGATTCCGGGCATCTAGTTTTTCCAGAAGCCCGTGCTCCGGGTGATTCGAAAGTTTTGGCTGGGCCCTGTGCCTCTCTGCCGATGCCCTCGAATTTTTCACCCCCGATGTTTGGACAGCCGGGGAGATTTGGGGCAAATTTTTTGGATATATTTTGTTTGAATTTGGAACATATAGGAAATTGAGGATCTTTTGGAATTAAGAAAACGGAATTGTGGGCTTAAAAATTGACAGGCAAAAGGAGGGTTTTTGAGGTTTTCAGGGACGAATAAAAGATTTTGCAAGATAAATTCTTTATGGATCTTGCTGGGTTTGCAACACATGAACTTTTCATTGCGTAATCGATGAAGCTCTCCTTATGGCGTCGCGTGTCGCTGCGCGATAGAAACTGTCGAAAGTGCCCCATTTCTTTGAAACCGATTCTGATGAATCTTTCGCTTTTTTTGGCCAGTGTGTATTATAGAAAAGTGCGCTGATTTTAAGGCTGTAAAGGATGAACTTCTATAAAATGCAAAACCTACCGATTCCTCAAAAAGTCCTGATTCCAATGCACGGGCCGCGGGCTGAAATCCACTCTGCCGAGCGGAATTGGGGTCTGCCGGCATGGAGTTGTAAGGTGCACTAAAAGTATTGTTTAACCGTATAAAATTATACATTTTTCTTAACCAATTATTGTAGTCTCTCAAACTCAGACTCTGTTTTAAAAAGGTGGAAATCAATTTTTGGAAGTTTTCCTAGCATGCCGCGGTTTTGGGATAAAAACGCCGGTCGTAGGTATTCGAACAGAAAATCGGAAATCAAAAAAAGAAACGTTTTTTTAATACTCACTTGGATGCACCATCAACGGCGACTGCGGATACATTATCGTCGGGGTATTAAACCCATAATTCTGGAAGGTGTGGCTATGGTAGGAGTTTGGAGGGGTTGACATCACACTGAAAGTATCGTACGTTCATCCATACTTTTTCTCGTGTTTCGAAATCTTTTTGTTAGCGTTATCAAATAAAACTAAACAAGTATCAAAAATGGCGACTCACGGTATCGGCATGTCCAGCGTCATGCGCGGTTCCGTAGTGTGGCGATGAGGCGGGATTTGCGGAGAATTTGCTAAAAAATGCATTAAATTATTAAAACAGCACTAAAGGGTTTTCTAGCGTGCTTCACGACACGAATAACAACTAGACGAAAAGCAAATGTTGCAGACCTACAGCTGCGTAGCTCAAGTAGTCTGAAATTTTTGGGTTTTAATTAGGTTTTCGGGATTTTATGATTTTGACTAGATGATGACGCTTTATAAAACAAGTTTTTAATAAATATTTAAATAATTTTAACAATTAAAGAAACCTACAAGGTCCAGCGAATTGTGGTTGTGGTGGAAAACGGGGTAGCGTCCCGGCACTCTGACTATGGTGCATCATGTTCCAGCCAATCGCATTTGCAGGAGGTGGTGGTTGGTGCATTCTGAACATATATAAAATTTTTTAATAACAAAGCGGTTTTAATGATTTTTTGATGATTATTTTATGCAAAAGTCATGCTAAACTTTTATAGGTTTAACTCGTAATTCGATCAAATTACGTGGAGCTTGTTAAAGGGCTCAAGAGCTGGGCCGGGGGGCCGGCCCATTAGGAGCTTGTCGGGAATGGGGGGCGGGGGCTCCTGGCCGCGGTAATTTTTTTTTATTGCTGCCGAGTTAAATTTCAAAGCAACAAAATTTTTTCCAAACCTACATTAGTAGTACCCCCGGTTTCTAATATACGGGTTTTTATCTAATTGTTTTATGTTTTAAGGTTTTTTATGGATTATTTACACATGTTAAAATTTCGCAAGGTATAGCGATCTACCAGGTCTTTTAAAAGTTTTTTTAGGGCCGAACTAACCCTTCAATGGGAGTAAAAACTTCATCAGCTTCTTCCCCGCAAGTGATAATATTTCCCATTTTAAGGTAGGTTTATGGAATGTATAAATGCAAATCGAAATAGTCCAGAATGATGAAAAATCCCAGACCCGGGAATGGCGGCTATAAATAGCATCGGTTAAAAATATTTTTGTTTCCTGAGAGCATTTGATGACTAATGGGTCTCGGGAAAGGGAGTGGATGGGAGATTCTTATTAATCGGTCATTTTACGCCTTTCTAGGAATTTCGTAATATAGAATCTAATTTTTAACGGCAAGAATTTTCTTCTTTTTAAAAGCATTTTGCTTTTACTTAAACCCTACATTTGAACGACGTAATCTATTTTCGCAAAGCGAGTATTTTTTTCAAAAAGTAGCAAAATGGTTTTCTAGCAGGATTTCAGAGACATTTAAGTTATATTTTACATATTTTTTTGTTGAACCCACCGATTTATTTGCTGCAAAACGGCGAGCTTTTGCTCCCTCTCTTTTTCCTCGGGGCAATCGAACGAAATCAAATTGTCCATCCCTTTCCGCTTCGCCTCTTCCGCCGCAAACGAACGCCTGAAACATTCCTTTCGTGCTATCTTATACCAAATCCTGTTACAAAAAATCCTTTTTATTGAAATTGTATTTTGTGTATTTTGGAATACCGTCAAAATGATTGGAAAAATTCATATTCCGTAATTGATTTGCACTCACTTGCTCAGCTCGAGCGCCATCTTCAGCTCGGGGTCGTTGTCCTCGGCCATATTTGGAGTCTTGTCTCTTTCTTGGCAAGTATTACGACATCTAAATCTCAGTTTTCAACACAGAACTATAAAGAAAGCTACAAAATTAAAAACAAACAATGTTTATAAAAATAGTAAATTTTGAAAGATCCTGTTTTTTGAAAGGTCAGAATAATTAGATGATGCTTATTTTTCCTTTTTTTGGCTAATTTATGAAGCCAGAAAATTCAAGGCTTGTGTCTACGTGCGATTCCGCTCCAATTTCCGGCGCAGAATTTGCGTCATGGTCTTTCGGACCAACATTTCGACATTCCAAAATCAAACAAATCCGAATTATAACGATTTCAAAAGATTTTATGCAACGAAAATCATGAACAGTGGATTAAAGTAAAGGAGAAACCTACTAAATTTGAATTTATCATCAATAAACGCTCAAAATAACGTTAAAATTCAACTTTTCGGGTTCTAGTTGAAAATCTTAAGCAAGAAAATAGCAAACCACCAAGGACACAAACTACAAAATCCCTAAAATCCCTGAAAAATCAGGTGAAAACTGGAAAAAATGCCTGAAATTCACCCCCGAGGACAAAATCAATAAAAAGACCCGCCAGAGCGTTTTAATAGCCCACCCGATTTTGATGTGTCTGTGTAAAAGATAGGAAAAGATAAGGGGGCTTCACTCATAGCTGGACCCTCCCCCTCCCATTCGAACACCACTCCCAAAAAACGCCTGGTGCGGGAACGGGATCGTAGTCTGTAGCCGAGGGGGAAGGGCGGTCACCTCGAGACCCGGAAAAACACAGAGAGGGGAGAGAATAGAAAAACAAGAACGGAGACCCCCCGTATTTTGAGAGAGTAACGCAATCCCTGGCCGGGCTCCGGCTCTGGTCAACAAGGTTGAGGTGCATTCGACCGATCTACCACTTGCAAAAAAAGTCTTTTTTTATGCGATTTTCGATGGTTTTTCTTTTCCAACGGAAATCCGGCTTGTTTGCGACTAAAAAATTTATTATTGAAGCGCTATTGATGTGAAGTTCCGTATTTTTCATGCTATGGATACTGTACTTTCGAGTAAAAGATGTAAGTACGGTTAAGTTTCCATAAATCCTCCGAATTCCGCGCACCCTTCCAGTTTTAAAGGGACGATGACAGCTAAGCCCTGTGCGATAGCCTAGAATATGTGGATTCTGCAGTCTTAAAAGATTTCTCGAGAGCAGAGCATCCTTCTTTGAAATTTTTCCAAAAAAATTGTATTTTGAGGGAGCAACGCAATCTGCTCTGGTTCTGGCCAGGTTGAGGTGCATTGAGCCGACTTACGGGATCCATCTTATGCGATTTTCGACGTTTTTTTGCGTCCTGCTGTGCACGAATACGCTGAAAAATAGGCCTAGAGGATTCCATTTTTTCAAATCCTAAATAAGGTCGGTCTTCAAAATTCGAAAACATTCACGTTGTTCCCGGGGTCGGGTGAGCTGACACGACCCCAGGCGTGAATAATGGCTAAAAACTCCGCACGCCACGATTTTATAACATGGCATTTCCTAGCATTTTTCTAATCAATTTGAATATAAAAAAGGAAAATTTTGCAAGTTGTAAAATGACTCCTCTTGTCCTTTGCAAAAGTCTACCAACATATCGTGTCGCCCGCCCGGCTAGTCATAATTGCTGTACGGATGATTCACATCGGTATCGGCGCTTGTATTTTCAGTAGCTGCCGTTCTCTCTCCCTCTCTCTCTCACTCTCTCTCTCCCTATGTCTCTCTCTTTTTTCTGTCTCTTTCTCCCTTTACCCTTTGCGAGTCAAAAGCCGTTGAATCGATGGAAGCGCTCGATTTCAAAAACTAAGAATTTTTCCAGATTTCACGTTTTTGCCAGCTCCCATATTCATTGAGTGCTCCCTGTCTGCCACCCCATCCACCATTTCACCCTCTCCTCCCCCACCTCTCCACACCCATCCATCAATATGCAATGCGTGAAGGCTGGCTGGTGGCTAAGGGCATATAGAGAAGCATAGCAGAGTGTATCCAACCGGCTGACCCCCCAGGTGTGCCACCCACCACCCACTCTACCCAACTATTCCATTCCATTCCACAACCCATCCTCACCCCCAGTATCCTCCCCTTCGGTAAGGCCGTAATTATCGTCGTCCATCGTATTCCGCCCGGAAATCCGGCATTTCGATCCTGGGTGGCCTCGACAAAATGACCCTCCCGGTGCCTGTGTACTCTCTGATTTTATGGATGCCGCCTTGGGTTTACGACCTTTTATTGACGACTCCATATTGACAGAAAACTAAAAAGAAACCAATTTTTTGAATGGTTATTTATCTGTCGGAATTCTTTATTGCATCGGTTTTTCTAGCCGTGATAGGCCAACAAGTAAAACTCCTTGTCCGAATTCGCTAAACGAGCCCAATTATCGTTTCTCCACGTCTTACTCGGCATTGCAGGCAGGCAGAAACCCCCTTTAAACACGATTATTGTTATTTCCAAACCAGGCTGTCTGCTAGCAATTTATGTGGCAAATCTGGTGGTAATTTCGTCTAGTGGTTCTTTGCTATTCAGAGTGGTTAGCTAGGCGTCGTCAGTAGTGCGCGATCAGGTGCATCCTACTTTGGCCTGCATAAAAAAGGACGAGCAGTGAAACCTTTTAGAGCCTCTAAACTTAAATAAGCCCGTCGAAAAAAGCTAGCAGAGACAGTTTTGGAAGGTGAATTCAGCAGGCAAGCAGGCTAGCAGAGTTCGTTCGGAATCACGCTTTTTCAAATTCCCTTGTCGAACCTGAATTTCACTTTACAAATTCAGCTGTGAAAACTAGCAGAGGCTTCTCTGGAAACGGCTTGCTAGCAGAGATTCCCCAGGTAAAGGTGGGCTAGCAGAGATTCTTTCAGAACGGGCCTTTTCGCAGCGATTCGTCGGGGTGGGCATGCAGGCAGCGAATCTTCAAAACTCGATTATTTGTCACAATGTCGCAATGAAATCGTCATAATATCAAGATTTGAGAAAACATTTTTTTGCATAGTATTTGTGGAAATTCCCGGTATATTTGCTTATGCAAAATTTCGACATCTTTGACATTTCGACATTATGAAAGTAGCAGTCGATACCCTTCGATTTCCCAACCAGTGGGTAGCAGAGATTCTTCAGGGAATCCGACAGCATTTCTAGGTACATCAAGCTACCCAGTACCCGGTCAACAAGCGACTAATCCTTCCTCACCATTACGGCTAATTTCGCTGGTCGGTGGCGCGCGGTAATACCCGGCCCGTCCAGGTGTGACTGGATCAAGGGACCCAGCCGAAATTGCGAGGTAGCAATAGGCAAAGGGGGCTTTTGGTGCCACCGGGTACCCTCTATTGACAGATGGGTCGTCTATGGGCCCTTTGGGGCTTAGTGGAAATTGTCCAGGTGTGTGGCCCCACCTCATAATAGACACAACCACACACAGCATGCACGCGCAACCCGAATATGAGCCCCTGCGAGAGAGAGAGGGAGAGAGAGAGAGAGAGAGAGAGAGGGAGAGAGAGAGAGAGAGACAGACGGACAGACAGACCCATTTCCCCCACCCGCATTGTTCAGGCACGCCGAAATGTGCGCCCCCGACTCGCTCGCGCGCTCTGCCTACTTTACAAGTGTCCCCTTACCGCATTCATTCAAAGGACAGGGTCGATCAGCTGACTCTCTCTCTCTCTCTCTCTCTCTCTCTCTCTCTCTCTCTCTCTCTCTCCTCTCTCGCTTAATGTATATTCTGGTACTTACCATGTCGTCTATGTCGTTTTGTTACGCTTTCACTATGTCGTGTTCTCGGCCTATTCTTCTGTAATTGCCTTTGTACGACAGGCTACAGGGCGAGAAGTACGTTTTTGGTGGAGGAGGACCTACCGCAGTACAAAGGCTTACGCCTTGCCATCTCCACTGAGAACCGTTTACCTTCCAACTAAAATACGTTGCTAATCGTTATGCTAAAAACTACTAATAAGTATTTGATTTTCTGATTCCATGGTTAAATTTGTTTTCCTTATTTTGAGAGGCAAGAGCAGGCAATCAAAGGTCAAGTCAACAACCCGGCTTATCGCCCTTTCCGAGATTGTTGCCTTCGGGTCCTAATGCCATTTTCATCATCATTTTTTAAGCTAGCCAAGACTACACTTTTCTTTCTTTTTTTCTCTGATGTTTCTTTCTGTCGGATTTCCAATGCTAGCAAATCCCTTTTAGAAAAATGAAAGCTCCGCGCGACGATCCGCTCAAGGATCATGCCTGGATGGATACGGTAAGCGCCTCAACTCCAATTAAACAAAACTGCTTTGATTTTAGCACGAAGCCTACGTGAACCACGCCCAAAATAACGAGCAAGAAATTCTGTTCATTGGTGACGACCATGTGGCACTATTGAATAACACCCAGGTAAGTTATCGATTTTTCCCACTGCCTGGTGTTCTTGATCCGGCAAAAATCAGCGTTACTGTTACAAACGTAGAACTAATAAGAGATGAGCTATTAAAACATTATCGGCATAAAATATAAACTTTTAGTACTACCGCCAATGGTTCATGCCGCTGCACTGCTCGAGCTTTGGAATTATTGGCGACAAGCTGGAGGACGTTCGGTGGAGAGTGGAGAATGGGGAGCTGGATGGAAATCCAATGAAGGTAAGAAAGCCTAAGATTACTTAACCTTAACAAATTCAAATCCTTGAAGAGATTACTTATTGTTGAAAAAGGTAATGAATACCAGAAAATACGTCTTAGAATGCGGCATTTTAACATTTCACTTTACAGCACCCAGTGTTTCACTAGGCTGTCTTGCCGGTTCCGTTAAAATTATCGTACCCTACGATTTATTACCCGTCCCCTGAACTACTACAATTACTAATACAACCCCAACCAACGGCTTCCTAAGTTTTGGCCTCAAAAATTTGGTCCCCCTGGCGGAACCCGCACCGGAAAAAAGTGTGAATCATTTCTCCTGGCGCTAGGGCTTCGCTCGATTCAATAATAACAAGAAAATCTGTGGCCTCGGCAAAAAACGTCTAGCTTTGGCGGATTTACTCTATGGATTTACCTTACTTTAGCGAGGCCTAGACCAGATTTTGTGTCTGGGCCCTCGGGAGAGACAGAGGGGAGAGAGAGAGAAGAGCAAGAGAAGGAGAGAGGGGGAGACAGAGATCGAGCGGGAGAGACAGAAATCCGTTCCAAATCGTGTGGGCCATGCCGGAAAATATAGGATTTGTGGGTGGGTGGGAGGTGGTTAAGGAGCTTTCACATCACTCGAATCACTTGAATGAAAATTTTTTTCATTAGGCGTGCATCGGGGTGATATTATGATGCTTTTCAGCCGTTGCTAAATATCATAAAATGAACACATCATTTAAGAAAATCAAGGGTTACTAATGAAACATAAAATATGCACAAACAAGATGTTTCAAATCTTGTCATTTAGTACAGTTTATTCGTTTTAAAAACATTCCAAAACTTGCAAATTTTTCAGATGATCGTCCTCTCCGTCGGCGCGAATGACACGATGCGCAGTGACGAATTCCTCTCGTCACTCACTGCTCTTACCCAAATCATTCGTGAGAAACAGCCAGATGCCAAGCTTTTTGTTATGGTAAGTTCATGAGATCCTTTTATGGCACGCCAAAGATTTCTATTGTTAGCTCGTCGTGCAAAAAAATGATAAATTGACTTTCAATCAAAATTTCAGCGCCTCCTCCCCTCCGGCCGTGAACGTAACGCTCGCTGGAAGTACGTTGAAGAGATTAACGAGCGTCTGGAAGGGGCTCTTCTCGAGACGGCGACCGTAGTCGATGCCCCGGGCGACTTGTTGAGTATGTTTTTGCGTTACCTGGGTTTTTTGTTGGACAATTTGGCTTTTCGATTTTCTTCTCAAATTCGAGCGTATATTGAGCTTTTAAATTACCTCAGGGTTTTAAATAAATCCCTAGAAAGCATTGGTGTGTTACAAATTACCGTAATACTCATTTTCTAGTCGAGGACCGCCTCGAGACGTACATGGCCTACGACTACCGACACCTGACCGATCAGGGATACCTCCGGGTTTTTGAGCCGCTTTATATGGCGGCCCTGGACGTGCTTGATATGAACGACTACGAGACGTCGGCCCGATATTCTGTCGCTAACGGGCGTCAGTTTGTGTAATTTTACAATGTCAAATTAAAGTTCCAATTTTCGTGCTGTATATCGTAGTTTTTAAGTTATTGAAACCTGGTATTTTCTTACTGTATTATCTGATTTTTTTTTGCAACGATGACTGTAGTTTTCTTCATCCATACCGTGTTTAAAGCTTTGCATCTATCGCTTTTGAATGCTGTCGTACTTGGATAACAATAGCTACCATCTTTTCGTCTTTGCTAAAGCATTTTTTCTAGCGCCGTTCGCTAAAAACTAATTTCCTCTTCTTCATTTTCCTTCATTATTTTTTCGACCGTAACCCAACCAGAAAAAGCTAATGCTAGCTAGCTTGCTTACCTCACCAAATCGCTTCCACTCTAAAAAACTACAGATTCCGCTGCTAGTTAATATCCTCTCGCACTGTGATTCCAATGCGATTTCGCTTCTTGTCATTCGTACACGTCATGTATCTAATTTGCATTTTTTTTGTAAAATCCGTTCTTTTCCGATTTTTCAATTATCTTTCTCCGCCAGGTCATAATATCACACAGTTTCCCTTTTGTCGATAGTGATCTCCCGTTCGTGTCCCCATCCGACTTTGGCAGTGTTCTGTTTTTATGACTATACTATTTTTGTGGCTGGTTCAAATGAGCTTCGCTTTTGGATGTGCATAAACTTGTATAAGTTGAACGCTAAAACACAAAAAAATGGTTTTCTAGCACAAGCATAGCTAACAAGCTTGTAAGATTGGCGATCCTTAAAGCCGATTTGCAAAACAAGAAAGACCGAGCGTGCGAGCAGAGATTCTCGCGGAATTTTTTTAGGTATTAAGAGGAAGCAGAAGCCAATAAAAAGGATGAGGTATTAAAACATTATCGGCATAAAATATAAACTTTTAGTACTACCGCCAATGGTTCATGCCGCTGCACTGCTCGAGCTTTGGAATTATTGGCGACAAGCTGGAGGACGTCGGTGGAGAGTGGAGAATGGGGAGCTGGATGGAAATCCAATGAAGGTAAGAAGGCCTAAGATTACTTAACCTTAACAAATCTAAATCCTTGAAGAAAAGTAAAAAAAGTATAGTAGAAGAAAGAAAATTTATTGTTGGAAAAGGTAATGAATACCAGAAAATGCGTCTTAGAATACAGCATTTTAACATTTCCTTTAACAGCACCCAATGTTTTACCAGGCTGTCTTACCGGTCCCGTTAAAATTATTGTGCCCAAATATTCCGATTTATTACCAGTCCCCTGAACTACCACAACCCCAACCAACGGCTTCCCAAGATTTTGGCCTCAAAAATTTGGTCCCTCCTGGCGGAACCCGCACCGGCAAAATGTGTGAATCATTTCGCCAGGTCCATAGGCTTCCCGCGATTCAATTATACAGAAAATTTGTGGCCTCGGGAAAACGACTAGCTTTGGCGGATTTACTCTATGGATTTACCTTACTTTAGCGAGGCCTAGACCAGATTTTGTGTCTGGGCCCTCGGGAAAGAGAGGGGGAGAGAGAGGAGAGAGAGAGAGCAAGAGAAGGAGAGAAGGGGAGACAAAGATCGAGCGGGAAAGACAGAAATCCGTTCCAAATCGTGTGGGCCATGCCGGAAAATATAGGATTTGTGGGTGGGTGGGGGGTGGTTAAGGAGCTTTCACATCACTCAAATCACTTGAATGAACAATTTTTCATTAGGCGTGCATCGGGGTGATATTATGATACTTTTCAGCCATTGCTAAATATCATAATATGAACACATCATTTAAGAAAATCGAGGGTTACTAATGAAGCATAAAATATACAAAAAAAGTGATTTCAAAATCTCGTCATTTAGTACAGTTTATTCGTTTTAAAAACATTCCAAAACTTGCAAATTTTTTAGATGATTGTCCTTTCGGTTGGCGCCAACGACACAATGCGCAGTGACGAATTCCTCTCGTCACTCACTGCTCTTACCCAAATCATTCGTGAGAAACAGCCAGATGCCAAGCTTTTTGTTATGGTAAGTTCATGGGATCTTTTTATGGCACGCCAAAGATTTCTATTCTTAGCTCGTGGTGCAAAAATACGATAATTACTTTCAATCAAAATTTCAGCGCCTCCTCCCCTCCGGCCGTGAACGTAACGCTCGCTGGAAGTACGTTGAAGAGATTAACGAGCGTCTGGAAGGGGCTCTTCTCGAGACGGCGACCGTAGTCGATGCCCCGGGCGACTTGTTGAGTATGTTTTTGCGTTACCTTGGTTTTTTTGTTGGACAATTTGGCTTTTCGGTTGTCTTCTCAAATTCGAGCGTATATGGAGACTTTAAATTACCTCAGGTTTTTAAATAAATCCCTAGAAAGCATTGGTGTGTTACAAATTACCGTAATACTCATTTTCTAGTCGAGGACCGCCTCGAGACGTACATGGCCTACGACTACCGACACCTGACCGATCAGGGATACCTCCGGGTTTTTGAGCCGCTTTATATGGCGGCCCTGGACGTGCTTGACATGAACGACTACGAGACGTCGGCCCGATATTCTGTCGCTAACGGGCGTCAGTTTGTGTAATTTTACAATGTTAAATTCAAATTAAAATTCCGATTTTCGTGCTGTATATCGTAGTTTTAAGTTATTGAAACTTGCTATTTTCTTACTGTATTATCTGATTTTTGTACAACGATGACTGTAGTTTTCTTCATCCATACCGTGTTTTAAGCTTTGCATCTATCGCTGTTGATTGCTGTCGTAATTGGATAACAATAGCTACCATTTTTTCGTCTTTGCTAATCCATCTTTTCTAGCGCCGTTCGCTAAAAACTAATTTCCTCTTCTTCATTTTTGCATAGATATTTTTCGACCGTAATCCAATCAGAAAAAGCTAATTTTCTCTCTTTTTGCTTACCTCACCAATTCGCTTCCACTCTAAAAAACTACAAATTCCGCTGCTAGTTAATATCCTCTCGCACTGTGATTCCAATGCGATTTCGCTTCTTGTCATTCGTACACGTCATGTATCTAATTTGCATTTTTTTGTAAAATCCGTTCTTTTCCGATTTTTCAATTATCTTTCTCCGCCAGGTCATAATATCACACCGTTTCCCTTTTGTCGATAGTGATCTCCCGTTCGTGTCCCCATCCGACTTTGGCAGTATTCTGTTTTTATGACTATACTATTTTTCTGGCTGGTTCAAATGAGCTTCGCTTTTGGATGTGCATAAACTTGTATAAGTTAGATCAACGCTAAAACACAAAAAAATGGTTTTCTAGCACAAGCATAGCTAACAAGCTTGTAAGATTGGCGATCTTTGCAGCCGATTTGCAAAACAAGAAAGACCGAGCGTGCGAGCAGAGACCTTGCGGAATTTTTTTAGGTATTAAGAAGAAGCAGAAAGCCGAGAAAAGCAGCTACTCCAAAAAATTCAAAGCTAGCAGATGCGTCTGTACAATTTTTGACATTCTATGGATTTTAAAAAGCGAAAAGAACCAGCGGAGATCATTTTAAAGGAACTTCCATTAATATTATCACGAAGTAATTTCCCAAACCCTAAAAATCTGAACAATCTTAAAAAAGCAGGCTAGCCGATTTTCTGTGGAAATATATCGCAACGATAAAATCCAGATTAACAAGCGGGCCAGCGAAGGTAATTTGGGAATTTCCATGCAAAATGAAATTTTTCCTTTTTTGTTATCCCTTAAATTTCGCTCCATAAATAAAGTTCATCTCAATTTTTATTCGCAACATCATCTTCTGCAAATTTTCGAATTTGCCGGGGATTCCCAAACACCGTCAAGGCCGGAAAAACCAATCTGAACATTTTGAAAGGTTTGAAAGGTCGTGGATGCGAAAATGCGCACAACAACCAATTCCTGGGGTTATTAAATTGACGTTTTTCTGGGTGTAGGGGGTATGGGATTAGTAGTGTTGTGTACGTATATTCCGGGGATGAGTCTTGTCTAGGGTTTCTTCGGGGAGATGTTGACGTAATCAGCGCTAGCGGAGTCTAATCTGGCGGTCAAATTGTTGGTAGAGATCGGAATATTAATTTTTCTTAAAGATACACTAACGTTTGTTTGCAAAAGCTTACCGACTGGTATTGACGATTTACCGTATTAAATACGTTATAAATTTATGACATAGGAACGAACATTCACTACGTAGCTGGCGTAACGTTACGCGTGTAGTGTAACGTAACGTAGCATGGCATTCATAATTTTCTGGAAACACGGCAATTCAAAGAAGCCACGCATTAATCGCAATTTCGAGCATGCTTTTGATGATGATTCGAGGAGAATTGGTAAACAGGCTTACCCGTACACGCATGAAATTCCTGACCCGTGACACAACCGCGGAGCGTCTAGTCATTGCCCGATTATCTTGTCAAGATGTATGTATTATCATTAAGCTTTACGGTCTTGTTTTTAAAGGTGCTAAAAAGTGCCAGAAAGTGCGAGAATTGACCACCAGGAGACTAGGTCTTGACGGCTACGCGCCGCGCGGGAACACGTAAAGCTAATTGACAACCTCTAAGCGGTGGGCAAAGATTTGCCGCTTCCTTCCCACCCCTTTTATATTTATGTTTCTAGAAGAATATTTTGCTTCTTTCTGCGTAGTCAACTCCGAGCCAATCTGGCGCTTTTTTTCCGCCGGGTTTTGCATATCGTATGGTTTCTCACGGCGTGACGCAACGCCCTCCGGCCCAAACCCATCCAATTTGTCGGCCCCTATTGTCTTTTTTGCCCTATAGACCCGTTTTTTGCAATGTACTGGACCCGGAGAAATGGGCAGATTAGCTCAACCCGTTCGTCACCGCTGGGACCTATGACACCGATTGGACTTTTTTGATGTGCGTGCGGGTCCGGGTTCAATTCTTCCTTATAGGCGCTTGAGGTTGGCTCTTCTGGCACTGGATCACCAGGAAATTGCCAAAAACTTTTGCCGATTTTTGTGTGTTGGTGCTTATATATAAAAAAGTTATATCGCTGAACCGAAAGCTCTCGCAAATTACGAAAATTCTGGTTACATTCGTCCTGCCAGGCACTCCAATTTTTCGTTTCTACTCATTTTCGCGCTTGAAGAACTACCTAAATAACTAATTCTTTTTTTTAACCTGGTACCTCACATTTTTAAAGGTTTGTCGCAAAATACCGCTTAAAAGCGCTCAAAAATCCAGAATAACATTTTTAGCTTCTGTTGGGTTATCGCTCTTTTCGCTTGTTTTTGTGAACCAGAGATCCAGCGCTTTTGGTTGACGGAAATGTACCGGAAATTTCTCTCGTAACAGATTTCCAGAGATCCCAAATCCAGTCATTCGAGAGCTTTTCATGTGAAGCTATGGTCAGAAATCGCCGGCGACAAAAATAGACCCGATAAGTTGAAAAATAGTCAGTTTGGAGGGAATATTCTGATTTTTTTCTGGAATCTTAGTTAGCCACCAGGTTTCTCCCGCTGATCTAGCCCATGCGCCTTCCTTTTACCCTCTCCCTCTTTTGTTTGCTCGCCCTGGGGTTTCTCGAAAACTGCGACGCTTGGCGTTCTCCTTCTTTGTGGGCTAGCTGACGGCTAGCTTGTTTTCACCGACCTCTGCCTGGCTTGTTCTAAACGCGGCGCTGGGGCTACTCTTTTCCCTGCCTGCCCTTCTCTCCTGCGGCGCTGGCGGCGGCTACTTCGTTCTCACTGGCGGCTGCTCTTTTCCGCGGCGCTGGCGCTTTTCTAACCTCGGCTTCGAGCGGCTGCTTCCTCCCTGCGGCGCTGGCTTGCCTCCTCTCCGCGGCGTATTTGAGCACTCTGCCTGGCCCGCGGCTAGTTTTCCCGCTGGCTTCCTTCCGCCCTACGGCGCTATTTCGGCCGGCCTGACCTTTTCCTGCGGCGCTATTTCGGCGGCTCTTTCCACTCGCTCTTGGGTTTCTTCTATAGGCTGCGGCGGTGCTATTTCTTAATAACTCCGCACGGAACACTCCAACCCTTGAAAACTATTCCGGGTGTACCGTGGTTAGTTACGGTACCCTACCCTCTTGGCCCGTCACCCGTTTTTCCTCGGCCCCGGGGCAGGGGGGGCTCAGGCCAAGGGAACTGGTCACTGGAGTGTTTTTTTTTCTTATCTTTCCTCCCGGCCCATCTCCCGCTTTACTTTTTTTTTTCGTCTGCCTCGGGGGGTCGTTCCCCGGTGCGGTTGGGCTTTTGCCGGCTCTCCTCGCTCCCCTCCGCCTTCCTTGGTAAAATCAGAATGTCTTTACGCGGATTCGACGTTCAGCCATTTCTTTTATTCAGACAATGTTTTCCTGTTTCTTTTTTCTGTCGGCGCAGCGACTTTCCAAAATTCCGCAGATTGTTTCGTACGTTTTTTCATAAATAACCAGCCAACCTGCGCTGGAGTGCCCTTGAAAGCCCCCGCAAACTCTATACCACTTCCTTTCTACTTCCTGCTATGAGCAATCATAATCTTCAAAGACTCAACCAGGGCGTGGTATGTCTTTTTCATTATAAGAGATGGCTCCTCCCCAGGAAAATCCGGGAGGCCCAGTCCCAGCCAGGCGAGTGTGGGCGACTAATCCGCCTCTGTGGCCGGATCTGGGCCCTCTCTCCTCTCTCTCTCTCTCTCTCTCTCTCTCTCTCCTTTACAATCTCGGGCCCCTTTCTCAGCCCCTCTCACCTGAAGATGGGCCCATCTTTGGCCCTACCTGATGGCCCTCTCCGACCCCTGTTCTCTCTCTCGCTCTCTCTCTCTCTCTCTCTCTCTCTCTCTCTCTCCAGATGCCATCACTGTCCCCGCCGCTGTCTTCTTCATTATCCCCGGATTCTTCCCCCAGATCGCCCCCCGGCTTTGGCTTTACTCGCTCATCCGGCCCGTCCGGCGGTATTTAGCCGGAATTTCCGGGGAACACCACACTTTTGCTGCCGGCGCTATTTTGCGGATGGCTGACTACAGTATTCCTACATGAAATTCATGATTTTTGGTCTTTGCTAGCTAGAGCTGATTTTTGCAGCCTGGCTCTCGACCTTTGGAATTTTTGGGGTAGCAAGATCATTCAAAAAAGATATAATTTGCTTCGTTCATTTTTAATTATGTATTTTCCCCGGTTATTGGAAAGTTTCCGAATTTTACCTTCCGGAAAATTTAAATATTTCGTAAAATAAGAAGTAGACTAAAATATCACAACTGAAAAATTCCCAAAAAACATGGAGCCGCTCCTACATTTCCGGGTGCTTTCCGATCAACTCGTAGCCGCTGGCGTGCGAAACGGCGCTTATCGGGCTTCTTTGGGGTGAAAATATACGCCATTTTAGCACCGGCGTAGGAGCGGTGTTTTCCTGGAAAAACTTGCTGGATTAGTAAATTCGCCTTACGCAAAAATATACTTGCTTTCAATTTTCTTTTCAGGTTTTTCATATGCAAATGAAGTTTCGAAGACGTAAAATTTTCCAAAATCACTGAAAGTATCTAGAATTAAAGATTTTAATTTAGGTAAGGGAATTTGTAAATTTAATAAATTACAAACTTTTTATGAACCTTGCAACGATCCTACGGGAACTTGCAACGATCGTCAGCACGCCACTTTCCTAATGACACCATCCCGTTAAGCCTCCCATAATCTTATTTTTCACGGAAATCTCCAGGTTTACCTCGTCATGCCGTCTACCTTTTTGTCATTGTACCAAGCAATATCGTGGATTCCGACCCATTTAATACAATTTTTTACGAATCTCCCGTTACAAATCCGGCTCTCTCTCTGTCTCATTCTCTCTCTCTCTATCTCACTCTCGCCCTCGCTCATATTTTCGATGAATGCCTCCGTGGGGTGATAAACAGGAAATGCGCAAGCGATTTTGAAGAGGGGGATTTGAGGCTAAATATGGCTCGTCTATTGGCAAAGACAAGTAGAAAAGAGGCAGAAACGAAAAAGAAGAGATATTTGTTAAATAGCGCCCCCCACTCGACCCGGACAACAATACCCAATTATCGCGCCTCTACTGCCTTGGAAGGTCCATGAATCTACCTTGCGTGTTTTCCTGATGGAAAACGGATGTTCAGGATCAGGAAAATCCGTGAATAATGCAATTTTTGTGAAAAAGCCGTTCTAAATAAATTTTCCCTTTTTTTATCTTTGTCCATGCTTTTTTGCGCTTTCAGTTAGCGTTAATAGTAGTAATTTCAGCAAATGCCGCCTTCTACAAAACGGGGTCCTGTCGCAATCCACTTCGACTCGGCGGCCATCCGAGCCAGGTATCTTCCGGAAGTGCGAGGGATGCCGCGATATCGGCATTTTCAAGCGTATGTTTTATTAGTTTTAGATATATAAAAATACAATTAATGTATTGCAAGTCATAGACGTTGTCAAATCCTTGAAAAGCTTTCGATTTTTCATTTTCAAAACTATTCCGAAGTCTAGACCTCAAATTAGGACCATTTTATCACTCCAGACTATACAGATTTTTTCTGAAGTGGGGGTGGAAGAATAGAACGTCTTAAAAAGGTTTATAGAATGAAAAGTCGTTCTATTCTTCTATTGTCTAGCTATACTTTCCATTGTATTGTCCTAATCGCTACTACTTACACCTATTCATAGCTCCCTAATCTGAATATTTCTTCACGCAAACCACCCGGATTAACGCCCCCGCTTCTGATAATTAATATCAAGGTACTAGTAGAGGGCAATAAGCCGCTATATTCCACTACTTTCCGCGAAAGATAAATACCCGGATTAGCCGACTACAGAGGGCAAATAGGCAAATATACGGTTAGGATGAGTAGCTAATCATAGAAAATCACACGAAAATGATATACCAAAAATCCGATTAATAAATCTAATAATTTTACGGTATCCGGATTAAACGCAAAAATGTTGATTTTGAGGTATCAAAATGGCGAATGAAATTTCAAAATGTTTAAATGTTCACTTTCGATGACTTTTTATACCCTCCTCGACCATTTTTAAGACTTTTTGGACCAACTTGGTATTTGCGTCATTTTTTTCTCCGCCTACAATTAGCAAAACTCGTCATTTTTGCGTAGCTGCCCGGCTAAATTGGGGGTTACCGGATTCTGCGGCCCGATCGCCTGCTATGCTGTGTTATTTCCGGAAATGTAGACAAAAATAATTAGACAGTATTTTTAACGCTTGCAAAAACGTGTAAATTTGGATGGATTCAATCTGGTGCTAAGCCTAAGCCTAAACCTAATCCTAACCCTAATGGAAGCTTAAGCGCAAGTTTAAGCCAGAGCCGAAATTTAAGCCTATGCCTAACTAGGCTATGCCTCGATACGCCTAAGCCAAGCCTAGGCCTGAGCCTAAGCCTAAGCCTAAGTATCACCTGAACCTAAGCTTAAGTCTGAGCATGTACTGTACTTAAAAAAGAGACTCTATTACCCCTTTCTTCATACCTACCTAATCCTAGCGCTTCTGATCCAGGAACCCCGATTCTTTCATTTCCCCTATATTGGGCTGGATTTTGATGACATCGACAGTCGGGGGACCCTGCCAGAGAAGCCATTAAAATGCGAGATAGGGTGAGTAAGGCTTCTTCTTCCCGGTGAGGGCCCCTACACCCTCCTACCGACAGCCCGGATAAAGAGGAAATCCCAAGTTTGGAGTGGGGGATATTTTGACGCATGGGGGACCGTGAAGTACGAAAAGAAAATAAGGGATTTTGCAACGCAAAGTGCAGGGGCGAGAGTGGAGTTTTGTGAAATTTAGAGCTTTTCAAATATTTTTCCAAGTAGATTCGGTTGAAACGTAAACCTGAGCTTTGTTTGCTTATCTGCAGCCTAAGCCCAACCCTAAGCCTGAACCTAAGCCTAAGCGTGTAAACATTAGCCTTGACCTGAATTCTCCTGAATGTATAGAGGATTTCGTACCTAAATGTCACACTTAATTTTGCTACTTGCCGTCAATGAAAACCAGCCAATCTCCGCTTGATTTTCCCCAGAGACGAAATCTATCTCGGAAATTAGCGGAGGTCTGAAAAAAAGATTCGGTCTCTAGGGCATCACATTGTTGCATTGATTAAAGGCAAATTACGAGTGTCCGCCGTTCCGAAATTTACGATAGTAGTCGTACCGATTCATACCGAATCAAGATTCCGGACAGCTACTTATTCCGAAATCATCATTTTTGGCTATAAAGCAAATAACATTTCTACGTCCAGAGTATTTTGTTAGCTTTTGCACATTTCGCAGCATTGACTTTGTACGCCACTGGTCCCGGGTATTCAAGTCTTTCCATTAAAACCGCGAAGCGGCGTTTTTTGCGATTTGGATGCACCTCGTTGACTCCGTACGACGCCAACGAAGAACTGTACTTCCGCTAGAAAAAAACGATTTTTGCAACCTTTATTCTGAAACCTCGACTTCAAAGACGCGCCTACTTCTTCTAGCCGCGAAGCGGCTTTTTCTATGAGTTCGACCATATCTAAGCATTCACGAGCAACCCTACCGCAAATATCGTCTAGTAGACGTCGAATTTAAATATATTTATTTAGTGCGCGAGTTTGAGCTAAATTGCTCACATTTTTTTGAGCTCAAACCTCCCACCCTCGAATCGATTAGGTCTCGTTTGCAACCGATTCCGCAGCCGGGTCCGAACTAGAAGAATTATTGAAGCTTCTTTTTCTTCCGGGCCCAACCCCACCCCCACCAAAACTCTTCACCCTGCTCAAAAATTCAGAGCACGAAGGTCGAGCCCTCCAGGCAGCTTGCCATCCCCCGGGCCAAACCGGATGAGTTTCACGCCCAACCGGGCCCAATCCCCTCTTTTCTGACCCGGAAAAATATTCTTGCTGGACCGGCTCGACCCGGAAACTAATTTATTAATTGGCGGGCCTTAGAGCTCATTTTGTGATTTTGTGAATTTCTCAAATTCTGCCATCCAATCAAATGCTATTCATGCTCGCCAATCGTAGGCATAAAAGGACGGAGAGCACGTGAGTAATGATAGAAAAATATTGTAGTTTTTATTCACGAGGAGTTTATGGTTTATAGTTTGTTTGCGACGTCAAACCTGAAAAGACGTTTTTCGCGCTCATATGGTACGAAGCATTAGGAATCGCTATTGCTGCCTAAGTGACGCTTTAACATGTTTTCGAAAGCCAGTTTCAAGCTGGGTATCGCATTAGCTTTAACCAACAACGTTTGATAGAGAAAACTTGATAAAACCGCGAAGCGGGCTTTCGCGGTCAGCTTATCTAGAGAAAAGCCGTTTAGACGAAAAGGTATCGCAAATACTAATTTTTGCCTTAGGTACCATTTGCCTTTAGGTCGACCAGCAAGTACCATGCTCAACCATCGACCAGCGCAGGATCTGGCATCGATCGCGCCGATTTTGTGGCTGAACTGCCTCAAATTATTGCACCGGCAAGGTTAGTGATAACCTAAAATTACAAAGACGTAATATCTCCAGAGCGGCTTTTTTATGTGCCCGTTTAGCTGACAAGCTTGGTGGCACCATCGCTTTTAAAACCGGCTCAAACATTCATCTCAACCTTTTTCCAGACAATACAACATGTTTCGCGAGGAGCAGAACCCAGTATTGGATATTGCGCCTGGCGTGACGGCAATGAATATTGGTAAGCTTTTACGGCCGTCATACACTTATGATATAACTCACTTTTATTGGTACAGTGTCTCAATTTCATCTCGCAAATCCTGTTTTTACAGGCACCAAAATCCTGAATTGCGCCAAGTTACTGTAACCAAAGCCGGCGTTCACCCTAAAAAATAAGCAAAACTGGGTGAATCAGCGGTTGATCCGGTCTGGGGTTAGGGCGTCAGGATCCGGGGATTTTGGCGATATTGGGATTTTCGTAAAAATTGTGAAACATTGGAATCTAGAATTCTGAAAACAATAATAAAAACGGGCCCTGATAAAATCCTACCGTAATTTCGTACCCTACGTAAAGGTAAATAGTGAATAATGATTGGCAAGGGATGAACCAGGAAAAAACACCTAATTAAGAACGCCTAAAAATTGACGCTGTTTGATAAACGTTGAATAATTTACCCTAAAACGGATGCCCTTGACTTTTCAGAGAATTTCGAGAATTCCGAATGTCTAAACATTCGGAATATCCCGTGTTTTTACTTTTTCGCCTTCTTGTTCTGTTTCTCTCTCTTTCTCTCTCTTTCTCTCTCTTTCTCTCTCTCTCTCTCTCTCTCTCTCTCTCTCTCTCTACGCAAAAACAGCATCACTCCCAGTTGCCCAGCTAAAAATACCGCGCCCACTATATCCAGGGCCAGGTGTCCATTTTTGGAAATAGCGCCTAATCACGCTCGCTTTGGCCTCGAGTCGGGGCCGCCATCAGAAATGGCCATATTTCGCCCGGGGAGCCAGCCAGAAGGGGAGGATTGTGACGTAGATACCGGGGGTCCGGATGTCGTGTCCGGAATTGATGAACGGGAAAGTGACGCTGATGAGAGTCGGGTTAGGGATTTGGAAATTGGGTTGACCTGACTGGGAGTAGGGTAATGATGTGGGTCGCATCTTAAAAATCTGTCTGCATAAACAATGATGCGAAAATTCAAAAATTTAGGTATGAAAAATTCTAAGTAAGCTTTTTCAGTCCGGAAGCGCAGAATAAAGAAGAACAAAGAGGTGTTACCGTCACTGAAAAGTGCCCCTGAACCGACTAGGACCAGAGCAGATGCAAAGGAGGAATCGTTGCAACAAGCTGGTAAGATATAGCCGTATCTCTCGCTTTCTCTCGTTCTCTCTCTCACTCTCTCTCTCTCTATCTCTCACCCTCTGTCTCTGTCTTTTGCTCTCTCTCGCTCTCTGATCCCTCTTTTTTAGTCGAAAAGAAGCGCAATAACAGTGTCGCGCTCTCCAACTCCACCTCTTCTGAAGCCAGTATCAGATCCTACTCCGGACTCCGACTTCAGGATGATCTTGCTACGGTGTCAAGAGGTTTGGAATGAAATACTAGAGACAAATTGATCATCGATTTTAGCACGAAACTTCGAGTACACAACTGCTCACCTGCTCAATGGTATCAGCGAGGATTCGGATAGCCTGGCCGTCAAGCATCAGCCTCGGAGCAAGAGCGCCCATGACATGTTGGATGAGCCTTTTGAGGTAAGAATATACAAACTTAGTGTGTAGCCTATAGTTGTATTTTGTAGTTTGTCGAAGAATAATGTGGATGCCATTTTTGCCACTAATTTACGCAATTTATCGTATTTTCGAGCTAACCTCTTAATGGTTTTAGCGCATCCAACCTACTGGCTCCTCCTTGAGCCTAAAAGACACCCGAGAAATTGCTGTCCAAACAGCGGTAAGTAGTTTTTAGCTGTTTTTTGAAGCCTCGAAGCACGACCTCCAAATAACTGAAATTTATTATTCTCTATTTATGATTAAAACAAATTATTTTTGTCGCGTTTTTAGCCGATCAGCACCCAAACGACAATCGACCTCTCTGATTCCGTCGCAACAGCTATTGCCACTCAAACGGATACGATCCCGATTTTCATCAACTCCAGGAGGAAGAGCGAGGCTTACAACAAGGAAATGGTAGGTTGAGCTCTCACTTTCTTTCACACGTGAAAAAATCATAATGTATGCTCTATTTTTAGCTGGAAGAACAGAGCGCACTAATGGAAATCATCGACGAAGCCCTGGACGAGACGATCGATCGATACAGCCGGATGCGAACGAATCAGATTATTGCTAGTAGCGCCAGGAGACAGGTGAGCGGAGTACTACTAAGGGGCGATACCGAATGATTGTAAATGCCCAACAAAACCTTCAGTTTTATGACTTTTTCTTTTTTATTGTATCGAACATGGCTTCCGTAAAGTTTTTCAACTGATCATGAAACATCTACCCCGCTTGAATATTGGCCGCCAAAATCAAACTTTGATTTTGCGGTCGGGACGTTTCGCCGAACTTAAAGTCACATATCTTCGGTAGAATGTTTTTGGTTTTCCCAACTGTCTTGCCTGGCTCAGGCGCTGAGATTGTGACATATTAAAATCTGTTTGGTTGAGACCGTTTTGGGTTTTCCGTTCAGGCCAATTTTCGAATCGGGTTTTAGGCGGTCTTTGGCCTGCCAATAGCCCGGTCAGTCTGTTTTTCTGTGTGTGGAGTCATAAACAGGAGCTACCAAACATAAGATCAACATACAACTATCCGCGTCGAGATCTACCAAGATTTGGAACGATTGTTTGATACCCGCGGCGCACAGCCATGTTCGGGCGTCATAATTATCATATATGAAACGGTGGGGCTACATTGAAATTGTTACAAAATGAATATTTAGCTCCACTTATCATAAAGTAAATCCTATTATTAAATTTGGGTTTACTTTTGTCGCTGTAGCCCTCTACATTTTCCGGATACTTACCAGCCACCCTGTATATTTTTGGATTATTTTCCATCATACTACGCCAAACATGGGCAATATTTGGAAAATGTCAATGTTTTTCAGGCCCAGATCTGGCGCGACGCGAAAGACTTTGTCACGAAGGCGCTGATCCCTCAAAGCGTGGAGCATGCGAACCGTGGGCGGACTCAGCAGCGGAGTGCCGTCGAGATTGTGTCGATGATTAAGGGATATCCGTAATCGCAATTTTAGATTGCAACGTAGCTATTTTTTAGCTAGCAGTCATATTTCCAATTATTTACCACCAACAATAACGCTATGTGATTTTACCAAATAATATCTATATTTACTAGCATTATTTACCTTCTGATCGTCAATAGTAGTGTATTGTAGTGGCTATCGTCACGGCTCGTGCTAGAAGCTTCAAGGGGTAGTGACAGCAAGAAACATAGCCTCTCTTCAGGGGCATACGGGAACTTTCTAGCTGTAAATTCTAGCTGGCACCATCCCTTTAATGGTTCTAAGAGGAGCACAAGTAGTCTGGTCATACTGTAGTTTGTATATTTCGGGATATGATTAATTTTAGCAGATTATTGTCGTCCTGGGCCATTATAGTTTGTACTTTCCGATATTTTGTATTTTTGGGTAGCACCAAGCCGGGTTTATGCCCTTTCCTAAAGTTTCTCTGCTCGAAAATGTCTATCTTTGACTCGTTTTTGGCTCAAATTTAATGACTATCTGATACCTAAAAGATCTCTATATCATCATATCAATTTTGTTTTAATTAATATGATTTTTATATTGCTCTGTATCGAAAATGGCTCAATTTGAGTGTATATTCATTCATTATATCAGTGTAATAACTCTCAAGATATAATTTTTCATATTTATTTCGATTTTTTTAGGGTTTTTCTGGTGTGTGTTGGCTGCAGAATAAATATATATACGGCAACGCAAAAAAAAGGGGGGACGGCCCTACCACGGGCATTCAGTGAGGGGGTACGGTAAAAAGGGAAAAACGAAATTCCACATCTAATCTGCATACAAAAATCAAAAATTAAAAAATGGAAAAATTAGCACAAAAAAATTCAAAAATTTTAACACAGTGTGCTGCGATTTTGTTGAGAACAAAGAATGCAAAAACCTAGGTGGGGCTTAAAAAATTAAAATTACAGCGGGGGTGGGCGGGGGGGGCGGGTACGGTACCTTACGGGTTACGGTATTTGGCATTTTAAAAAATCGTAAAAATTCAGAAAAATTAAAATTCGAGGAGGGGAAGCACAGATCAATCAAACCACCATATTTCCGTTAAAAAGTTGAAAACTAAAAAATCAATTTACAAAACTACAGTAGGAAAGACGGAATACGAACTAGGAGGAGGAGGCAGTTTGGCAAAAAAAAGTCAATTTACGAATTTTTGAAGAAAAAGGGTACTGTACAATTTTTCAGGGTATTATTTTTGAGGTGCTCAAGGTATCGAAAAATTAATAGAAACGTTTTTTTAAGGATTATGGTTGCAAGACGGGTTTTAAATTTTTGTTGAGGTAGATTTTAATTTTCTTGGCTTTACAAAATCATTTTCAAGGATTTTCCAGCAACCATAATACGGTGGATCGGCGGAAATTTGAAAAAGTTGAAATTGAAAAATTCGGGTGTCCCTAATAAAAATTTGTGGGGAAATGAGGACAATTTTTAAAGGGACACCCGCCCAAAAATGCCTAGCTTTAGAAAAAGAGGAGAAACCGCGTTAAACAATTATCGAAAAACAATTGAATAATCCTAGAGGTCGGGGAGGGAGAGGTGAGAGGGTAGATACATTTTTTAAAGGGATGGATCGGATTTCTGTCAATAGGTCAAATCGGTTGAAATTATTCAAATTCAAGGTATCCATACAACAAAATATATAGAATAAAAACATAACGCATAAAATCTGCGCTTTCGAAGACGCTAAAACTATTTTTAAAATTTTTGAGTCGTACCGATCCATCCTAAAGGGCCAGTGAAGGCGGGGAAGGGGCGGGGCTTAGAAAGGACGAAGACATAGAGACGTAGATAGCAGTCGAACCCAAAATGGACCCATATCACGCGCGCACTGAGGCCAAAAAAATGAAAAACACATCGGGTGGCATTCTTTTGTGTTGGGGGATTTTGTTCTCGGGCAATCAATACGGTTGGGATTGAAGGAGTTCTGAGGATTTTTGACGATTTCGGGACATTTTTAGGGAGGTGGAATCACAGTAGTGCATACTGGTGGTGTCGATAGGCGTCTAGTGTAGCGCTTTGGCTGCCAGTGGCCGTGACGACGTCATTCCAGCACTGCCCGCGAACCCTGACCGTTGCTGGGCTGCTGCTGCATGCGCTTGATCCTGAAAACGGAGAACTACTAAAGGAATTGTTGTGATTGTGATAGTTTCAAATTAGGAAGTGGTCTTAAGAGAGTCCTCAGATATATTTTTCCAATTTTTTCTAGTTTATAGGGCTCTGACGGCTAGGTTGGGCAAAGGCATGCGGTCGCGTCGCCTGTCGCTAAGGAGCGACAGAGAGTGAGAGAGGGAGTGAGAGAGAGAGATTGATTGGCGACTTTAATGGTATTGCGAAGGCAAAAGTGTGGTGTGGTTTCTAAGGAACCGGAATTCCGTCTAAAATGTCATTTTAAGACGTTTTAAAAGAATGCAAGAAAGAAAAAAATGATTAGCGGGAGAGAGACACAGCGGGAGAGAGAAAGCGAGATAGAGAGCGAGAGAGAGGGAAAAGCCCGGATAACAAGTCAGACAACGCAACCGCAACGCGTTCTTTAAGAGTTCTTGCTCAAAATGTGCATCTCGAAAGGGCATTTGGGTGTTCGACGAATCACTTCACAACATTACGATCGTCACGAAAAGCATTTTTAGATCCCTAACTCTAATTTTGTGATTTTTAAGGTTTTGTATTAGCTATGGCAAAATCAGGACCAATTGAACATCTTCTTAAGACTTTTATTCTCATCTACAAGCTCGAAAACGATCGTGACGACCCCTCCGGGAAAACTCGGTCTTTTGATAGGTTCTTACGACAAACTTGAGGAGGTTCCAGTCGAAGATGTAGTCGAGGCAGAAGCCCTGCGAGTGGAACAGGTTCCGGAATAGCTGTCGGAGGTGGCCGTAGTCGGGCTGCTCCTCGAAGCCTAGGCCTCGGCAGTATCGGAGGTATTGGGCGAACGCGTCTGAAACAGCAGAATTGGCATATGAAACGATTTTTTTTAATCCGTAAAATGAGCGTTTTAAACTTTTTTATGTTAAAAAAGCAAATTCTCGCATTGAACGCTACGAGCTACACCTGCGTACGTTAGGAATCATTATTGAATCCAGACGTCCAAGGTTGTGTAACGTACCGGGATGCCTGAAGCACAACTCATCAACCGACGTGGAGATCTTCTTTTCGGAGATCTTGTCGTATTTCTGTCGCTTGGTGGCCGCCTTGAGTCCTTGCCAGGGCAGGGTGCCCCGGTTGAAGTACATCAACACGTAGCCCAACGATTCCAGGTCGTCTCGTCGGGATTGTTCTGGAAAACAGAAATTTATAGACCGCATATCGTCAAGATTTCGGATTAAGGAGGTTGAGAAGTTCGTCAAGTTTGATCTGAATCAAGCGCCAAGACTTACCAATTCCTCGATGAGTATTCACAGAGGCATATCTGGCAGTTCCGGTCAAATTCTTGTTCTCCCGGTATGGGATATGCTGCTGGGTTCTGCTCTCCCGGTACTTCTTCGCCAAACCAAAGTCGATTATCTAAAAATATAGGTTTTTCTTGAAGTCATAAGCCTTAAAATCATGATTCCGCTAAGATATGCCTGAAAACTTACATATACAAGGTTGCCGCGCTTCCCCAATCCCATCAAAAAATTGTCGGGCTTGATGTCGCGGTGGATGTAGTCTCGCATGTGGATGTACTCAATCCGGGACAACTGAAAAAGAGGGATAGGATTCCTTGCCGTAATTGGTTGCTTAAAACTGCTACGAAACGCTAGAAGAAAACTTTGAGATACATTCACATTTACGTGATCCTATCCAGAAAAATATATAAGAATCATGGAAAAACGCATCAGTGGCAACCTACCATCTGATCGGCGAGGAGAAGGACGGTTTTCAGGGTGAATTTCCGTTGGCAAAAATTGAAGAGGTCTTCCAGGGAGGGACCCAACAATTCCATCACCATCACGTTGTACTCGCCCTCGTAGCCGCACCATTTCATCTGGAAAAACAATCATTTAAGACGCCAATACGAAACAAAAATAATAAAAACGGCCAGAAAGTACTTTTCTACGTCTAAAAAGCGTCATTTCAGATACCGTTAAAAGCGTAGCAGCATATTTTTTAGTAAAAAAATTGTAGAGGCTTTTTATACGTTAAAAACTACAACGGAACCGCTCTAAACCTACCTGAGGGATTCCGATGCCGCCGTACATGACCTTATACAATCGGGCTTCGATGTGCAGCTGGGGGTGCTTCGTTTTCACGCATTCCAACTTCACTGCGACTTCTTCATTTGTTTGGATGTTTTGGCCTGAAAGGTATCGATTTTATGCGCTTCAATGACGTCGAAATTAGCGAATATCAAAAAAGCTAAAAAACCTCGAAAATGCCTACCTAAGTAGATATCACCAAAGGACCCGCTTCCGATTTTGCGGCCGAGACGAAAACGGCCGCCGACCCGCAGTTCCATTTCTGCTGAAAATGTATGGATTAATAATGGTTTTTAAGGTATATTTCGATACTCTTAAAGGCTATCTTTTTGTGATAATGGCAACGCTTATTTTAGGTTTGGTCTTACAGTTATTTGGACTCGAAAAAGGAGGAGAAAAAGGTGGAAAAACGGGAGAAATCGGCCCGAGAAAACTTCATGAATAAAAATATACCTATAGATTAAAATATCTGGAGAAACCATCGGTCTTGCTCTTGATTTACATAGTATAAATCATTAAATTAACCCTAAGGCGCCTACTTAAAACTTTAGCACCTTTTTATCAGTCATAGTAGCGTAATAGAGGCATTAATGGACGGTATAAAAATGATACTACGGGAATTAAAGCTTCAGAATTCATACATTAATGATATACACACCAAGGAAGGGAGAATTAACGATCTCAGCACATTCTAAAATGCATCCTGAAAAAGCTGGGAGCCCAGCTCGAGGACACGTGACGAGGTGGCGGTCATTGACCCCGTTCGCGCACGCCGGACATGCAGACAAACAGACAAACTGAGAAAAGCGCACAGACAGACAGACAGACAGCGCATTCGCACGAAGCACCTAAAGGACCCCAGCCAGCCTCCCTGCTCGATTGCAAGCAAAACATTCAGGGCCGTTAAAGGGTCTGGCACTCTTGCCCTCTCCCTCTCTCGCTCTCCCTCTCTCTCTCTGTCTATTTTGCTTCCTCTTTCGTTTTTAGTTGGCCACTTGACCTTTGCATTCGTCAAAAAGAGTGTAGCACCGGCTTTTTCATCTGAATTTTGGTATTCTCAGCCTATTTTGCGGAGGGTAAACCAGCAGAGATTATTGAGGAATTTTGGGGTGAATAGAGATTAAGGTATCTTTAATATAACCTTTAATGAAACGGTTAGAATTTACTATCGTGACGCAATGAGCAATACGAACCAGGAATCCTAGTCGTTTTAGACGAAATCTGGAGTTTTTAAGCGCATTTCGTGAGGGTAAACTAGCAGAGATTGTTGAAGAAAATTGAGAATCACCGAAATTAAAGAAAATCGTATCTGTAGCTTAAATTGAGCTAGATTTGCTACGGTAACGCAAAAACATTGTCTAGCCAAGAATTCGTAAGGTCGAGACACGAGCCCTTTCCTTCTTCTCGTCACTTCCCCCCCACTACCGTTTCCATATGCATTTTAATCGGCTAAAATGAGGTTTTTAGGGGGGAGGGGACTACGAGGAGGGCATGTGGCTGCCGCTGCTGGTCTCCCTGGAGAGGCCAAGGGGGTCATATGCGGAATGCGCAATTTGGGGCGTCGCGTTGCCTGGGCTAAGGGATCGGACGAGAAGCGTTGATAGCTGATCTTGATGGCGTAATGGGTTAAAAATTTACGTGATAAATTGAGAGGGGTTCACGGCACCTTATTTCAACAAAAAATCTATCCATAAAAAATTAGCAACGTTTAGCGCGTAAAACGCTGAAATCTGATTTTTGACTTTGTTTTTTTTGCCTAGAATCGCCGGAAAAATATCACAAAAAAGTTGTGAATAAAAAGAAAATTATGAAAAATTTAGAAAAACCCTATGCTCTTTGCTTCACTGTGGAAAATTCATGGAAAACGCTCGAAATCAGTCTTGACGTTAAGAAAACCCATAATAAAATTCGTTCAGGGAAAAATTGGTGATAAAATCGATAAAACCTAAACCCAAAGCCGAATATCATCAGCTCATTCACCCAAAAGCAAAAGCCTCATCTACCCGCATTGTGGGTGATGCCGCCCTGCTGACAGAGGCAATTAGCCGGGTGGACGGTGTGGCTGGCGCACCTCTCGTGAAATCAATGGGTTCTGTCCGGTCACACGTACGGACAGACAGACAGACAGACAAGGAAGAATACCCAGAGAAACGACAGACAGACACACTCAATATAGCCGAAAAAAGCTCGTCAAACCAGGCGCAATGATGGGGCCGATTCTAGACGTGACACAATATCGATTAGGAGCAGTCAAGGGGGAATTGGGAGGGCATGTGATCGGCTTGAAAAAGTTTGGCAGGCAGAAGGAGGTGAAGCAGTTCGATTTGGATCATTGCCAAATGAGCCTGAACTCTACTTCATCCGGGATTTTAAAGGGACGACGACGGCAAGCCGTTCAATGGATTTGCTTGGAAATGCGGATTATATTTATTTTATGCTTAGAAAAAGTCTCCGCGGCGAGTTATCTGGGTTTAATGTGCAAAAGAGTACATAATTATTCGGTTTTAAGGGACGACGACACCAAGGAGTACCGCTCTATCTCAAATTTCTAGTAAAATTCGCGAAGATTGCGATATTTTGAAGTTTCTAGCGTTTCCTAGGAATTTTTTTAGAACGTCTTCGAGCCGTTCAACGACCCTTGGTATAATTGATACACCTTAAAAACGTAAGCTCTAAAGGCCCAAATGAAGAAAATCGCCCGAAATTCTCCACCAATCTCCATTCCTCAATCCATTCTCACCCCCATTTCCATCCCCCGCAGATCTCGACGACGATATCGACACGTTCAGTGTCAGCCGAGGGCAAAGTCAAGGGCATGTGATTGAAGGCCGGAAAAACGGGCAAGAGGGGGGATGGAGAGCGTTGTGAGCAAGCAGAGGCTCGAGTGGAAAAACCGGCGGATGGGGTGCCCCGCATGGGGGGACTGATATGGTGGATCGATTATGGGGTGGAAAACATGTTTTTACCATAATTTTTGTTATAGAATTGGCTTTACAAGATCCGTACGTCAGGCTTAAAATGACGATCTACGCATTAATGTAGTAAAAAAAGGCAAAACTTGAAAAAACATTAAATTTGGCCGAAAAACGATTTTTTTGTGACGTTTGGATGTGGATTTTGGCTTCACGACACCTTTAAGAACACAAACAGCGTTTTAGGGTGCGATCTATGCATTAATTGGCGTTAGGAAAAGATACTTCAGGTATGCTCCAAACCTTAATAGGGCCAGCGGTCGAGGAAAACTTGAAAAACATGATTTTTTACGGATGTAGTTATGATTGATTCGGGCTTTAAGATACCTTTAAAAATCGTTGTTGAAAGTGAGAATTTTGGATCAATAGATTTTAGAAAATAGACATAGGATAGCTTAAAGATTCTCTCAACGCATTAACGAGCATAAAAGGACGGCTTGAAATCTGGTTTTTCTTGGACTAGGCTGTGGATTCTGGCCTCAGTAGGCCTTTAAATCACTTGATTGCTACGTTCAGATACTATCGACACATTAATGGACCGTAAAAATTTCTAAAACAGCACCATGCCCCGATGCTGTCGGCACCATCACTTCGGCCGGCTCGGCGACCACTTGGTTCATCTTCTCCTGCGGGTGGAAATCCTCTGTTTCCCAGTCCAATCCTACCGCCGTCCACAGCCACCTAATATAACCCTCGGTTTTCCGCGATCAATCAAGTCAACGAGAGACCACGGGAAACCAGAGAGTCTAGAGAAACAGAGACAACCAGACAGTCCGTTTGTGGAGTGCAAATTCGTGAGACGACCTCCCCTCTGGGCGATTCGATCGATATTTTTGGGGTTGCGAGGGGGGAGGCGAGCAAATAGGGAAGTTCCGGTGTAGATTTCTACACAAATATGTGTGTCTGTGTCGCTTGGACTGTCTGTTTGTCTGTCCGTTAGGCCGGGCGGACACAGGTAGCGAACCCGGGGGAGTGTCGAAGATTTTGGGTGGTGATGTGTGATTTTTGGGTGGTCGTATGGACTTTTGGGGTATGAATCGCTCTGGATTTGGCTTCGGTGGTCTTTTAGAAGTATGAAATAGCAAGAAATAGCAGAGTTTCCGCTACCGGAGGGCCGGATCAGGTCGGAAATCCGAAACTACTGATCGAATTCGGTCAAAATCTTCGAAAATCGAGTTCGCGGCGTTTCTTGCCTTCAATGGCCCTTTAAAAAGCGAGTAGCCGGCAATTGTGTAAAACTGTAGCGTTTGAAGAATAAAGTAGTCCAAAAACGCCAGTAAAAATATAGAAAAATCGGGTGTTTAACGACCGTAAAAGTCTCAAAATCGATCTGTCGGGTTTTTCGGAATATCCTCGAATACAGTACCCCAAAAATCGATAAAGAATGTCCAAAATATAGTAGCCTCCCGTAGGCTCCAATCACAAGATCTGGCCGGCCCAGAAATGGGGATAGAGCGCCCGATTTTCCAGAAAATTTTTGCCGCCCGCGCCCGGCGCGCCAGCCCAGCAGAGAGCTGATTATCGATGGGAGGGAGGCGGGGAGAGAGAGAGAGAGAGAGAGAGAGAGAGAGAGAGGGAGAGAGAGAGAGAGCGAGGGATAGAGAAATAACCAGAGCGCCCTGTTGCGTGGAGTGTCGCGTAGCGCGCGGCGCGCGGGGGTGACGACATGGAAAACCAGCTTGGCGTCAGCCTTGGTGCTGTCTGGAGGACAAGGCGACTTTTCTGGGGTAGCATCGCTGGTGGTAGGAGGGAAAGATGAAGCTGTCTGGGTAGACGAGCCAAGCGCCGCGCTTCCGGTCTTTCCCACGGTAACACGCGCACAGGTTCGGGGTTTTATTGGTATCGGAACGTAGGTTGAGGGTATTGTTGCGTACTGATAGCTTAAAATGGTTCCACAGATCATTAAAAATTCTTTCAAAAGACTATTTGGGCCAAAAGTTAACGCTGATTCCGAGACGTTTAAAAATTGTCTAATTCATTTTAGGACTTTCGGTAAGTTTCCTGGCAGCGTCTGATGCAATCGATGCCCTAATCTCTCAACCCGAACACCGTTTCACTGCCCTTGAAGCCAAGAGGACAAAAAAAAGAGATAACGCATTGTCTCCATCCAACACACGCGGGTACGCTGCCTCTCTCTCTCACTCTCTCGCTCTCTTTATCTATCACCCTCACTAGCTCACACAAAAACTGATAACATACACAATGGAAAGCAAGGTTTCAGACTATTCGGTGTATGTCTGAAAACAGACAAGTGAGAGTGGGAGAGAGAAAGAGAGAGAGAGAGAGCG